CCGTCGAGCTGTCCAGACCATTGGCCAGCCCAAGGTCTGCCTACTCCAAGCCTTTGCTGCACATTTGTTTCTATATTGCTCCAGATGTTCAGCAGAGGCGTTCACAACACACCTTGTACCAACGAAGACTCTCGATCTCTCGGGAATCTACTCCGCGATGATGACGGCATGGACATCCATGTTTGCTGTCTATACATTGCGCCCATCTCTAGAATCCTTGGCAACGGTCTGGGCCTACCCATATCGGGTACCTGGTCTGCCTCGTCGATATCAAAAGCCGCACGACCGTGCTCCTTAGGAAGCTTGCATCGACAGCTGACATGTAGACAGCATTACGGGCTTAACGCGCGCGCTCTCAAAACAATCAAATGTTTTTACTCTGAATTACGCCGCATCAGCCTGCAACATGGTGAAACGGCTCCGGCCCGCTCCAGAACAAGATGCTTCTTGCTACGCCGCCGCTCAGGACATAAAGCAAGCACGGCGAGCTGAGGGCGGCGGTGCGTCTCATTCGGCCAACTAATGTCAGACGGCAACGATGACAAGCCTAGGCTTTGACAGACCCTGAGTAGCTCCTGCATATCCCTTGCGCTTCTTACGTTGCACCGCGTCTCAGGCTCCGAACATGGCTATTGTGAAGCTCACAGAGAGCCCAGAACAGATCTATCTTATGGCGTGCGCTGTAGTGTCTGCTCGGGGTATCGATGGCTTGTACAGCCCGGGCCGCCAACGTGCCGAGTTCCGGACCGTCTCTAGGCCAGGGCATGAGGTCGTTCGCCGCTCGATTCACACCTACCAATACCGAGATTTGGCCGAATACCTGCTCAATTGACTTTGTGAGAGGGTACGCAGAGCATCGCGAAGCCGGCGTGTTGCAAGCTTGATCATCGGCATGCTCAACGAGTTTCCATCTATCAGCTAGGACTGTACAAACCTTCAGTGCACATGTGTGATGGCGGGATGCCGGAAGAAGCGCAGTCTGATCAACAGGCAGACAGTCAGCTCCAGTGACATCGTCCTTGTACCATTCGATTTCACGCCGTTCGTAGCAAACGCACACCAACACTACGATGAGTACCAAGGTACTTTGCCACCCGTCTATCAGCTGGCAGTCCATACTATATGGTGTCCTCGATGGTAGTTTCCAACTGCCTAGATATGAGCATCGCGGTACTTGAGTGGTCGTGTACCATTGATGCATGGGACAGGGTCATACATGTACACCATTTCAATGTACCTACAGTTCGGCACCTTGTTCAAAGATGTGATATCACACCATCACGGCCTAATCAATAGCCTGAGTATGCGCTCTTTTCGAGCACTGTACCCCTCAAATACCACTAGTTCAGACTCATGAGCAGCTGAAGGACTCTTCAAAAGCATCCGGCCCACGCATCAGTTTATACGATGTCTCCACTCTCAAATCAACAAGTCAAGATCATGTCTCTCCCAATGCCATCTCATCAACTCTCGGCCAATCTGCTCCTTCTCCTCCTATTACCACTCAACACCGCTTCCGCAGTCCTGCAATCCGCCTGCACCATACCAACGATAACAACAACAGTCGCGATGGACACATCTACATTCGTTGCTCCAACCGACGCGACCGCCACGTCTCCGGCACCAGCGTCCACAACAGCGCTATGGCAGATTGACCCCATGTGCCTGCCCGGCGTGGCTCAATGTCACCATTTCGGTGATCGATTCCGGTACTGCAATGCCACAGGCTTCTGGGTCCCGAATTATTGTGGTGGGGATTGGATTTGCTGTGCGTATAGTGCGAGAAACGGGGCTGGGCCTATGTGTGAGAGTAGGGAGCAGTGTGAGGTAGTTGGTGGGCCGGGGATGGCCCTGGGCCTGTGGGAATAGAACGGTATATCGAGGTAGATGCTGGAACTGGGATGGGGACAACACATATGTGGGTGATGGAAGTAAGACGGCAATGCGTATGAGCAGTAACAGACGGCCTGGGCGGTAGTAAATCGACTAATTGTACTTCCTCGGTCTTACTCTTCACCTCAGTCGTCGTGCAACGAGCTCACTGAACGTTACTCGGTCATAACACATCATTGGCCGTCTGTTACATTCATCTTGGTATTCTCTCTATTTATCAAGTGTATAGCCTTCGTTAGAAATGAAAGATACCCCACACTATGATGCTGCCTGGAGAAACCGATGTCGATCTTTTCATTATTCTCAGGCAGACCAAAGTAAAGCGTCTTTGTAGTTACGATGACAGCAGGAAGGCAGTGCTCGGTAGGGTCCAGATGAAAACTCTTGACTTTGAATCAGCACAGCAACTCTAGCCCGAACGCTCCACTCAATCGCGGATAAGGAGCAGTTCGACAGGCAAAACCGAGAGGTGCTGGCTCCTGGGCTTGTCGGAGATACTCCGAAGAAACCTCAATATTGGTAGTGGCAGTGGGCCGGATCGATGAGGTGTAGCTTGGGCTTCGTCGGAATTGTAAGGGATTGTGTCTACTTTTACTGACAGGGCCGAGAAGAAAGGCTACAGACGATGGGTTCTCCTACGCACCGACCTCTCTATGTCCGCGCTTATTTTGTCCAGAAAGCGGGTAGTTCACATGTTGTAGCAAGGTCACGGAAACCGTCATGTCAGAGTGAGTACAGCGTTGAGTACTTTGCGTCGAATACATGTCTCCCCAAGGTGATATACAGTGCATGAGTCAGAACAAAAACGTCCTCGGGTGATTCAGCTGCTAAGTAAACGCAAGAAGGTTCTGCAATAGCAACTTCGGGATCAGAGAGATGATGTTACGGAAGATGAGGAAATGTCAAGTCAACATATGCGTCAGGTTGCAATGCCTAATTGGGGAGCGGACATGTGTTGTGTAGGATATATTGTTGCATTTTTTCGTGTACATATTTCCGTTCGCTCTGAACTTCATTATCGTCGCATCATCTCATGACCCTAGCACTACCGGACTCTGCAGACGAGTCGCTTACAAGTTCACGGCAGTCCTGAAGTTGTTGCCGGCATAGACGGCGTTGTCACCGAGTTCCTCCTCGATACGGAGGATCTGGTTAAGCTTGGCGAGACGCTCAGATCGGGCTGGCGCACCAGTCTTGATCTGACCAGATCGTAGACCAACAACGATATCGGCAATGGTGACATCCTCGGTCTCTCCGGAGCGGTGAGAAACCATGACACCCCAACCAGCACCGAAAGCGTCCTTGGCAGCCTGGATGGCCTCGGTGATAGTACCAATCTGGTTGACCTTGAGGAGAAGAGCATTGCAAGACTTGAGCTCGATGGCCTTCTTGATGAACTCGGGGTTGGTCACGGTCAAGTCGTCACCAACAATCTGGCCATCGTAGGTCTTGAAGAAGTAAGACCAAGCCTCCCAGTCGTCCTCAGCGAAGGGGTCCTCGATGCTGACGATAGGGTACTTCTCGGCCAGAGACTTGTACATCTCGGCGAGTTGCTCGTATGTGAGCCACTTGCTCTTGTCGCTGTCGGGGTTCTTGAAGTCGAGGTCGTACTTCTTCTCGTCGGCCTTGTAGAACTCGCTGGACGCAACATCCATAGCAATCTTGATCTTGCCAGTGTAGCCAGCCTCCTCGATGGCCTTGGTGATGAGGTCGAGAGCCTCCTCAGCGGTTTGGATGTCTGGGGCGACACCGCCCTCGTCACCGACGTTTCCGGCGGACTGTCCGTACGTCTTCTTGGCGAGAGCCTTGAGCTTCTGGTAGACTTCGGCTCCTTGGCGCATCGCCTCGGAGAAGGTGGGGGCTTCACTGGGAGCTGTTAGTGTCGAGTTCCACGGGCTGCACGGGTATGAAGTTACCAGGGAACGATCATGAACTCTTGGAAAGCAAGACGGCCACCGGCGTGCGAGCCACCGTTGAGGACGTTTTGGACTGCACAGTCAGTACGCAGTGACTGCATTGCTCGATAGGGATTGCCTACAGGGTACGGGGAGGACATAGGGCTTCTTGGTGCCAGCCAGGTCGGAGATGTGTGCGTAGAGGGGGACACCCTTCTCGGCGGCAGCGGCCTTTGCGATGGCCATTGAGACACCGAGGATGGCGTTGGCGCCCAGGTTGGTCTTGTTTGTTGTGCCATCGAGCTTGTTGAGGAACGCGTCTACAGCGGACTGGTCCTTGACGTCGAGCTTCTCCTTGATCAGGGCAGGGGCAATGGTGTCGTTGACGTTGGCGACGGCCTTGGTGACACCCTTGCCGCCCCACTTGGACTTGTCTCCATCGCGGAGTTCGCAGGCCTCGTGGGAGCCAGTGGAGGCGCCGGAGGGGACGATGGCGCGGTGAAGGCCGGTCTCGGTGACAATGTCGACCTCGACGGTCGGGTTACCCTAGAGCGGGTTAGCCGTGAAGCTCCGTGGTGGGAGATGCGTTGCTGGTGCACGACGTACCCGAGAGTCGTAGACGGAGCGGGCGTGGATCTTGGTGATGGTCATGGTGAAGGATTGCTGTTGGGAGAGTCAATTGGGGTGCTGGGGAGCCGCAGACGTGCAGGGCAGGAGATATAGAAGCAGGCCGGATGCGCGGGTAGCAGAGTCCGGCCGCGGAGAGGCTGCCGGCAGAAAATTCGACTTACTAGTTGTATGTGTAAGATCAAGTGTCGGTGTTGTTTTGTTTGGGTGGGGTGTTCCAGAGCTTAAGAGTCCAGCAAGGTTTTGGAGGGGTCGTTCAGCAGATTTCAGCCCCGCTATGACGCCGTCGCCTCATTGGCAGCCCACGCCCTCGTTTGTAAAAGCCATTATCGCAAGCCTTGGGTGGGACGACGCGCAAGCTGGGTTGGGCGAGCTGTGGCATGGGCGTGACAGGCGTCCGTGATACATGCCCTCTGCGGGCCTGCCGATTATGCACGGGAGATCGCCGTCCCAGGTAGCTTCTTTGGCAAACGACTCAAAACTCCATCGTCGCCAGCGTCTTGCAAGCCAAGCCAGACGAAACAGCAGCTCTCATGGCATGCGCGACGGTCCGAAGACCGGCCTGCCGCGTCTGTCACAGGTTTCATGGTGCCTCGGGGGTACCGGTAAAGTCATGCGCGGCCGTCTGTGTATCATGTGAAGGGCGGCGGAGGAAAAGCTCAAGCACACGTAGCCGTGGCTTGTATTCGAGCAGTTCACTGTAGACGTTGCGACTGTGCAGGCCGACATATGGGCACAGCGGGTGCACGACGAGTCCAGTCCTGCCAAGGCCACGCTGGCCCAAGCTTCATGTGTACGGCAGCCGCGACGCTGAGAGCTGCCTTCACGTGCGGCGTCAACACCACCACAGCCATAACCACACCAAACGGTCCTTGCCGCTAAACCACCACGACCGTGGATCCGGACGCTGACGTTGCCTGATCTTACGCCTCCCCGCCCGCCTGTCCACGCCCGACGAAAGTCGCCTTCCCTCCCCACAGCCACCACCCCAAGCTCATCACCATGTACGTCGTTCACAAGACGCGCTATCTGGATACTGACTCTTGCACAGGGAGGTCTTGCTAGGAATCACCGGCAAGGACTTTACCCTCATCGCCGCCTCCAAAGCCGCCATGCGTGGCGCCACCATCCTCAAGGCGTCCGACGACAAGACCCGAGTACTCAACACACACACGCTGATGGCCTTCTCTGGAGAAGCCGGCGATACGGGTATGACAGGAGCGGCCACGGCGACTAGCGGTAGCTGACGGTGGTGCAGTCCAATTCGCCGAATACATCCAGGCAAACGTACAATTATACTCGATGCGCAACAACATGGAGCTGTCACCCGCTGCAACTGCCAACTTCGTCCGAGGAGAACTGGCGTCGGCGCTGCGATCAAGAAAACCATACACGGTCAACTTGCTCCTGGGTGGATACGACACGATTGCCGACAAGCCAACTCTCTACTGGATCGACTACTTGGCGAGTCAAGCACCGCTCCCATACGCCGCACATGGATACGCACAGTACGTCCCACCCGCTGCCCCCTCCAATGCAGCACCTCCCGCACATTCAGGCCCATGCTAACACGGTACTGCCAGGTACTACTGCCTCTCTCTGCTCGACAAGCATCACCATCCTGACATCGACTACGAACAAGGCATGAAGATCCTGCGTATGTGCACCGAGGAGCTGAAGCGACGTCTTCCGATCGATTTCAAGGGCGTACTGGTCAAGGTCATAACAAAGGATGGCATCAAAGACGTGGAGTACGAAGACGACGTAAAGGTTGCGATCCCATAGAAGGCCATGGGTCAGCCGAGGCTAGACCATTCTACCAGATGATTTATGCACAGCAAACGGGTGCCATTACGATCATGACACTCGGGCATGATAGATAACGACGACAAATAGTCAATTGACATTAATGACTGCCGTCGTGCTCTATCTCTTTCTTGCTTCTGAACCTTGCAGACCTCTTCGCCAACTCCGTGCACGATGCCATAGGGCCAAAGGTCATGAATCCGACGACGAGCCATGAAATCAAAGAGTCAGAGCAACCATGACAGACTGACAAGTACATCACACTCACGGCAACGCATGCACGAGACATGGGTATGTCCTCCAAATAAATCGACACCGCTGACTCATCGCCATCACTGAAGACGACCCAACGAGAAAGCAGCTTCCTACAGGAGTATCGCTCTCCGATCCCACGCCACCGTAGTGACTGGCAACTAAAAGACAGAGATGTTCTGATAGTCGTGGCTGGGATCGTTTGTATTTTTTGATCAAGGAGCGAGAAAGGAGGACGAGGGGCGCAGAGTTTTTATACTGACGTGTGGGGGGCGCCAAGCCGGTGCACGGGCAGAAGGGTTTTTCGGGCACGGGCACGGGCACCACCGTGCGATGGAGCGGCAACAGCGACGAGGGCGACGAGGCGTGTGGCCCACCAACACCAATACTGGCGACGGCATGATGCTGCAGAAAAGACCATGGCGCAACCGCAACACTCAATCGAGAACCGCGCAACGTATCTTCAGTGCCCACTTCATTCGACTGCACACATCGACACCGCCGCGCACTCACCCGTCCCACGGACCACAACATGTTTCACGGAGTCAAAGGCCATAGAGTATTGTGTAGAGTGAATTGTTTTTTTCATTTTGGGGAAGCCGATGAGCTTGAAGCATGTCGCGATCCACCACTGCGGCCTGGAGACAGTGCCGCCGCTTCAAACAACCGCTTTCACATTCTAGTCATCGCAACCGTCGGACATGCGCTTGCCTAGTCGGACTTATTCGCAGCTATGTCGCACCTAGTTCTTGTATCCGTTCTCGTACCCGTTGGCCATGACCTCCTGGAGACCTTGGGGAGGACCGTTCGCCTGGCCCTTGGCAGTACCGTTGACCGCGCCATTGCTCATGCCGTTCATGGTCTTCTTCGACTCGTGCATAGCATCCTCGATGGGCTTGTCGTTCATGGTATATCCAGTGTCGGAGGCATCGACAAAGGCGTCGAGACCGGCGCCCTCGCGAGGGTACTCCTTCATCAGCTCCTTGTGTCGTCGCAGAGCCTTGTTCATCTCCTCGGGAGAGACGTCGTTCAGGAACACGCAGGTACCGATAGGGTTGGGCACGGCAGCACGGAGCAGACCGTCACGAGTCTTCAGGATAGCCTTGGTGGCCTTGTCGAGCATGTCCTCGTCGAACAGCTCGTGGTCCATGGACAGACCAGCCCTGGAGAACAGGTTCAACAGCCTCCTGTGCTCCTCGTCGCTGAGGAGACCGCGCTGGTTTGCCAATGTCGCTGAGTAGGCCATGTCGATGGAAATGGCATGTCCGTGACGGAGCGGAACCTTGGGTGAAAGCTTCGGAAGAGTCAGCAAAGGCAACGTGCTTAGGGTGCGGTAACATTACTTCGTGGAGCGGACTCCAGGTGTGGCCGTAGGCAATGACACGGTCGAGACCGATCTCGTGGAGGTTGGGCGTCTCGAGCTTCAACATCTCGTGGATACCAGCACGGTTGATCTCATCCGCTGCCTGGAGAACCTCCTTGTCGTTGCCCTCACGACCGAACCGAGAAGTGATTAGCTTCTCGCAGTACTTGTCCAGCAGGTCAAATGTTGGCTTGTGGGCGCAGGTCGAAATCTTGATCAACTCTGCGAAACCGTTTCGTACTTGGCCCTCTGGCAGAGTCTTCAAGAAAGAGAAGTCGAGGAATGTGTGCATCGGGGCGTGGTACGCTCCGAGACGGTTCTTGTAGTTGCCGTAGTTGACGGCGACCTTGATGCTGACACTGGCATCGATCAGGCCAATGACGGTAGTTGGGATACGGATGAAGTTGGTATTTCTTCGGTATGCCGCGCAAGCAAATCTAGGTCACGAGTTAACTCCATTCCTACAGCGCAGTCAGGCCAGAGTGCCTTAGAGCTATTTTTTACCCAGCAACGTCAGTCACCAAACCACCACCCTGCGATAGGTCAGCATTCTGTAACACCTCATTCGGGGTGGAGAACATACTACGACAAGTACGGGCTCCTTTCGGATGATGCCAAAGTCGGTCATCGAGTCAACGATGCTCAGGAGAGTCTCCATGGACTTAGCCTTTTCGCCGATCATGGTCTTGTGGATCGTCAGAGGCAGGTTGTAGTGGTCGAAGTACTTTTGCATCTCATCGCCATAGACGTTGTAGATGTTAAGATCCATGACAGCCAGGCAGCGGCCCCAGCGCTCGTAGCACTTGGCCAGGTTGTTGTTGGCAGGGTTGAAGACGCCATCGAGGAAGGTGAAGTCATATTCGATCTTCTCGTATCCCTCGACGTGGAAGCCGTTTTGGGTCTCGACAACGGAAGCTTTGAGGTCTGACATGGTGAAAAGAGGTGGAAAAGGTGTGAATGAGATACGTTGAGTTCTGCGGGGTCAGTGTATGCAGGACTGCTCTATATAAATGGCGACAGACCGATATCGTCTGGGACTACTCACATAGCTCGCGGTACACGCTCTGCCTCCATTGGCTCTCAAAGGTCGGCAGCGCTCCAGACAACGTCAACCATACGCATTATTCTCGTTCATGATGCAGCCACTCGTGGATCCCTTGTTGTTTGGACTTGGTGCCACTTCACTTCGAGCCAAACTAGGCTCCTACTGGCCAGCCATGATGAAATGACTTCAACAACATTGCCCTCCCAGCGGTAAAACCCGGTTCCGGCACATGGGATATGCACTTTACTCATGCAACATGGGTTTTTGCGGGCTTGGGCACAGCAGAACCATCCTACTTGCCTTCGGCCAAGGACGAACTCGGCGTAGCACAAGCCGCGAACCCATCTAGTGCCAACAACGGAGTCTCTCCCGTGGTGGAGTGAATGAGATACACTACATACAACTGCGGGGCAGCCATCGAAATCACCTCATATCCACTTCAGGATTCACATCGTTCGATTGCTGACGCTCTGTGGCAGATGGTGGCAGAGTCCCCATTTGCCAGCGAGTCAGAAGAGGTGCAGTGTGTGCGCAGGGCTGATAGTGCGCTACCGGTAGCCATACAGCGGCACTTTCTTACCCCTCAGTCCAGGGACAAGCTGGAAAATTGTGACATTCAGCGAGATCTTTTCGATTCTAGTTCCCGCTTCGGGTAGATAGAGTTTGGCGGATCCAGGATCGTTGAGGTATATTGCCTGGTAGAGGTAAGCGTACGTTGTCATGGCAAGTCCTTGTGGCTCCGTAGTCGGTTAGCGGACACAGCGAGCTCTAGATCGTTGACGACAGCCACACCCAACTCAACGTCAACACTATACAGGACCGTGTATGCACCAATGAACCGCCCCACATGAGCGTCGCGTATCCGCATGGCATAGTGCGAACTCGCCTCAACCGGTGCCAAGGGCGCTTTGACGCGTACACGGGAGTGTGGCATGGAAAAGGCAGGATACGGCGTCACACCTACATTGGCATCCCACCCTCAATAATGGGGTTTTGCAGGAAAAGCAATTTGCGCGATGTCAATTGCTAATGTGCTAACATAAGGAGTGACATCTAGACGCCTCCACGGAGGCAGATTGGGTGCTAAAGCAGTCGAATGGACTAAGCGCCACTCATACATGTTCCTGCATGTATTTCGTCATTACTGATCACAGCCCCGCACTAGACCGGACGCGTTGAGGGGCAACTGTGGTAGCTCGGACGCGTCGAGCTTACGACTGTCCGCACAATTTCAGATTGCCATTGAACAACAGCAACAATGGGCAGCTTTGATCAAAGCAAAGCATATGCAGCGCAAGAGGAGGAGGGTGCGTTTTTCGACGATGGGCGCGAAATCGAGCTCCTGCACTTCGTCTATTCACATCCCAACATCGAGAAGATACGAGGATCACCAGAACATGTTCTGGCAGCCATTGACGAGTATGGACGCACAAAGAAGTATCTCATGAATGTGGGAGAGGACAAGGGCCGCATTGTCACGGACTTGATCGCGGAAGTAAAGCCAAAAACCATGGTATGAATGTCCCTGCACTCGAATTACATCCCTAACAGCACGTAGGTCGAGCTCGGCGGCTACGTAGGCTATTCATGCATTCTTTTCGCAGATGCTGTACGAAAAGCAGGCGGCGAGCGATACTTCAGCTTCGAGCGCGATCCCGCCTTTGCGGCTGTCATCATGTCTTTGGTCGACCTTGCAGGCCTCACCGACCTTGTAAAGGTAATTGTGGGCTCAAGCGACGAAGGCATTGCGCGGCTGGCAGCATCGGGCCAACTGAAGCAAGTCGATCTTATGTTCCTGGACCACTACAAGCCTGCCTACACAACAGACCTGAAGCTCTGCGAGGAGCTTGGCCTGGTCACAAAAGGCTCCGTGCTGGCAGCAGACAATGTCATCAAGCCCGGAAATCCGCCGTACTTGAAGTATGTCAGGTCGAGCGTTGAGGAGAAGGTCAAGGAGGCTGGAGAGGGTGGTCAGACAAACCTCAGCGGCATTGCTGAGACGAACGTCAAGATGTACGAGAAGAGATACGGCAAGGCCAAGTTCAGCGAGAGCAAAGGCAACCCGAATCTCAAGTACGAGAGCAAGCTGGTAAACAGCTACGAGCCAACGGGCGTACCTGTGAGTTGGAGCGCCGGCCGTCTCTCACGCGCATTTACTGACGAGCACAGGACGGCATCGAAATCACACGATGCGTTGGCTAGAAGAAGGCATCATAACTTGGTACATGACGCGTTGTAATCTTATGAATCGCGAGTTTCAGTGCTGGTGGGTCCTGAGCGCCTCGGCGCGGCGACGGTACCCGGCTGCTACCAGCTACAGGTGCCAGCAATGCCTCAATGCTTGCAAAAACAAACGGCATAAACAGATGAATCTATAGTTTCATAAATTCTGCGAAGCATCTCTGCGAGGCCGACATTGACAGACTGTGGTGATGTTGTGACCACGGCATGACACGTCGCGGTCGAGGAAATAACCATGAGCCCTGCATCCGCCGCCCAAACCCCTCAACCCCCATCCGCCGATCGCGGCCAGATCGCAAACAGGATCTACTACGACCAGATCGCAGACAGGATGGAGTCTAGGGTTCCACAATGTCGTACATGAGTGAAGTAACGATGACGTCTAGACTAGCGAGCAAAGCCAGCCTTCTCAGGCCAACAGCTTTGTCTGGGCGAACGTAGCCGCACGCACATCAATCACCTCGCCTATGCATGAACGCATTGCGTGACTACGAGCCGTCCGTCTGCACCGCTAATTTCTACTTACTTGCAGCCCGCATTGCAGTGCAGCGCAGCTTGCAGGCTTTTGCGAGGGCATAGTTGAGACCTCTCTCGGTCCTTTTTTTTGATAAGGTAACGCCGTTGGTGGTGTGTTGGGAAACGTCTGAACGGTGAAGACTGTGCGAGAACAAGTGCCGAGGTCACGAGCACCTCTCTTCCATCAACAGCAACGGCGAAGACATGGCAGAGGGAAAGAAGGATGCCGTGGTGCCGTTTTACTATAGCCATGTGTGGAAGAATGTGCTTCTACTGGCTCTGAGCGCTGTTTGCGCGCCTGTGTCGGCAGCGCTGGTGTTGCTTGGTCTTGCAGTGTCGCGACTCCATGGGCAGCACAACGCAACCTTTTCGACCGAGGATAAGCAGCATGTGGCGGCGGCACGAAGACGGAAAACTATCCTCGTCACTGGAGTGTCCATGACCAAAGGTCTGACGATTGCGCGCAATCTGTCGCAGCATACACCGCATCGCATCGTTGGCGCCGACATCTCTTCTTTATCGCCAGGTCGCTTCTCCAGCGCTATTGCGAAGTACTACTGTCTGGACACACCGAGTGGCGACGATGCAGAGCCATACATTGACTCCATTCTCTCGATCATCCAACGCGAGAAAGTGGACCTATGGATCAGTTGCTCCAGCGTTGTCGCAGCCGTAGAAGATGGTCAAGTCGTCCGCCTAGCAGAGAAGCAAGCAAGAGAACAAGGCCGCCATTTCGAAGCCATCCAGTTCCGGGAAGACGTTGTCGAAAAGTTCCATGAAAAGGACAAGTTCATCGACTACATCGAGTCGCTTGGTCTCCCAATCCCGGAATCGCACCGCTGCACCAACCCACATGAAGCGCTCGATGTGCTCATGGGTGAGCTGCACAGAACGCCAACGAAATCAGGAAGAACGATACCAAGAAGACAGTTCATCATGAAACCCATCGGTGTGGACGACAAGGCCAGGAACAACATGATGACGCTGCTGCCATTCAATACCCCAGACGCCACAGCCCAATACATCCACTCGCTCAACATCTCCAAAGAGAACCCGTTCCAGCTCCAGCAATTCATCAAAGGAAGCGAATACTGTACGCACGCCCTCGTCATCCGTGGAAAAGTAAAAGCCTTCACCAGCTGTCCCAGCCTAGAACTCCTCATGCACTACGAGCCGCTGCCTGCCTCGTCGCCCCTCAGCAAGAAGATGCTTGGCTTTACCGAGCGCGTATGCAAGGACGGCGGCGAAAGCTTCACCGGCCACCTAAGCTTCGACTTCCTAGTCGAGAACGACGATAAAGGCGCAGCCGCCAAGTTCTACCCTATTGAATCCAATCCACGCGCCCACACGGCCGTCGTGCTCTTTGAGCAAACTCCCGAAATGGCAGAAGCTTACCTCTCCATTTTCAACAGCCCTAACCCCTTGTCATCGAAACACAAGATTGGTCCTGTTTTCCCTCGCTCCCCGACATACAGCTATTACTGGATCGGCCATGACTTGGTGTCTTTTGTTGTCCTGCCGCTTCTTGATTTACTTTTCGGCGTCGCGACCTTCCAGGCTGCTTTCAATGACTTGGCGACATTTTGGAGTCATGTTGTCGGTTGGAAGGATGGGACGTATTTGTTCGAAGACCCTCTGCCCTTTTTCGTTTTGTATCATATCTATTGGCCTGCGAAGTTTCTAGAGGCGTTGAGGACAGGGAAGGCGTGGAGTCGGATTAACGTTAGTACTACGAAGATGTTCGAGGGATGAGTATGGCGTGATGTGGGTCAGACTGTAAAAGAAACCGGGCTGATGGGGAGTTACTAAAAGCGTAACGGCCGTTAGAAATGTGTTTATAGACCGTTTGTGAAAAGAATTTGTGCCATTGTCTGGACGTCCTAGCTGGCATCACATCGCACTGCTATGCTATGCTTACTCAAAAGTACGAATTTACGCGACCGCAACTCGTTTTTTGTGGATCCCTCTTTACCAAGCACTCTCCTTCCCCCTCAGTCCAAACTCACATCACTCTCCGTCTCCCAAACCCTGCCAATTTCCATATCCCTAACGCTCGACCAGACTCTTTCCAACTCTGCAGAGGTGGAGGTACGAAGTCAGTATATGTCTCAAATGCACTTCATACCGTCAAAACTTACCGGCCGAATCCCTCCTGACCTTCTTCCTCAGCTCCGCAACGGCAATCGCCATTCGTCGTTGCAGACGAGTCTGCTGGCCATGTAGGGCACGAGCCATAGCGCATCGCGTGTAGCAGTGAAAGGCGATGCAATGCTTCCTAGCGGTACCAGAGAGACGGTGGAATGAGCCCTTTCGCGGCGGGATTAGCGCTAGAAGCTTGGTGTTCCTAGACGATGACGAAGGAAAGATGGCCGTGATACGGGATTTGCGAGACGTAGTGCTGGAATATGTGATGCGGTGGTATATCCCTTTTGGCTTGTTCCTGGTCGCCGTAGCTAATGAAACGCACCCTATAGATCTTGTGCCGCTGTGTTTGTTGTCATCGTTGATGGGTGCTGCGAGTGAGATTGCGGCAGCAGTGCCCATGACCTGACTGATTTGCGCGCCCAAGGAATGGCGCTGGTCTGCTTCGGGCGCAATGGAAGTGGGGATGTGTTCGTCCGCAGCGACTTCTACACATGCGCCGTTCCAACCGCCTGAGTTGAGCAAGTGAACTGGGCGGTTCGCGGAGTCAACGCCCGCTTCGAATTTGCGCCTGATGTCATTTCTCTTGTCCTCGAAGCGTGACAGGGCCTCCATATCCTGGGTATCGATAGCGACATCAAGGACTTCTAGACTATCAGGCTCGTCTGACCAGTTTTTCGTGTCGCACTGTGTATGCTTTTGTCCCAAGACCTGAGACCCCAGCGTATACGTCCCACCATCTTCTGAGTCTCGATCTGCCTCGAACGTGCGCTTGGTGCCGTTGACGATGCTCAGCGGAGGCGCAAGGCCATCTAAAGCATCGGAAACCTCAGTCACCACTTCGTCTTCGGATTCTGCCTGTGGAACGCTCTCTTCGACACCAGAAGCCTCTTTCTCAGCTTCTTCAGCAGCATACGAAGCCTTGAGACTCTCCCAATCCCCCTTGACCCGTAACTTGGCGCGCCTCAACTCCACATCGCCCTTGGCAAGGGTCAAGTCATGCATCATCTCAGCGACACGTCGAATCTGCCTCAACGGTACGACTTTGGCTGAGAGCTGCTGTCCAGCACCCTCTTTAGCTTCGGCCTCTTCTTCTTTCTTAGTCTTGGGCTCAATTCGAAGATCGCGGAAGAGATCTGTTATCAGTTGGAAATTGTGGGGCTCGGGATTTGCATTGATGTCTTCAGCCCGGGAGCGCCGTACATCGTCGCTCATGAGAACTTCCTCGCGAAGGCGTAGAACGAGGCCGAAGGCGCGACGATAGAAGGAGAGGAAGTCAAAGTTACTGTGTACTTCGTTCTCCTGCAGTTCTGACCTCATGGTACCTAGCAGGTTGGCGTGTGTCTCGTCCTGCTTGTCGAAATCGGGTTTGCGTACCCTGGCCTTGTCCTTGCCTTTTCGCCTTGGCTTCGAGGGCGTGATCTTGGTTGCTAGATCGGCAAACGTGTCTCGCAAGTCCTCTGAGATCCGCCTAGCCTGTTTACAGTCATCGTCTGATGCGCCTCCAACAGCCTCTTTCCGTCGGTAGAGATGGTTGAAGACTGCATGACGCCTCAGCCAACGGTTATTGTCCGGGTTCGGGCCATAGTAATCGGAAATCTTAGCCTCCAATGGCAAATCACTCCGTAAACCGCGTTTCACACCAACTTGTTTCGGCACCCGAGGGAGGTACCTGGAAGTGTGGCGGAAGTCCGTGGCCATAGCGCGGCTACTGGTGCTACCCGAGAGGAGATAGCGATTGAGGAAGTCGTTAGGGTGGGTTGGTGGATCGCCGTGAAACAAAGCTCTTGACCTAAGCGTTGAGCACAGAATCAGTGCGTGTCTCACATGTAGTTCATACGCTGAAAATCTTACCCATGCATCTTGATCAGATAGTCGAGGTCTGGCCACTGGATGTTCAGACCGCCAATTTGGCAGGCGGCGTTGTAGAGGTGAGCGAGGCCATTGATGAACCACTGTATCTTGGCAATGGTAGTATGGTGGTAGATCTGGTTGTAGTGCCACATTGAAAGTCCCGCGAGCGTCGAATGAACGGTGATGAAGACGCTAGCAGCCATCGGCACTTCTCGCGAATTCAGAACATCTTGCAGCCAGTCCAACAGCCTGTCTAGAGGCTTCAACAGGAGGGTACTGAACTTGATCTCTTCTTTGCACATGTAGTCAGGCTTTGTTCCCTTGGCCCACATGCGGTCTTCGTAGTCGACATGACAACGGATACATCTGGCGATGTCTAAGCCGTGCTCGGTGAGGTCGCGTAGCATCCGACGACAGTCGTCGCGCACTGCCTCTTGGATGTCGAGAACAATGGCAAGGCCGAAGGGTAGGTAGTCTTGTGATGTACTCTGATGCAACAGCATCTCTGCGGTAAAGTGATCCCACTTTGGAAGCTTGAGGTTGCCCTTGCGAATAACGTCGAAGAACCTCAAGAATATCATGAGAGGGTGCTCCTGGATGTCGTTGCCAATACTGTCCTTCATCGGGCGCTTATTCGTGACGTAGCTCTTGATCAAGACGGCAGCATCATCCAGACAAAACAGGTGACGCAGTGCCTTTTCAGTGAGCGGTGTTGCTGCGTTCTGTGCTCCAGTGTTGGGAGCTGCTTTGATCTTATCGAAAAGCTGACGGATGAGTATGGCCAGGTCTCCTGGTAGCAAATCGAGCTCCTCCATCAGTGCCTTGACGTTCTGGTGCAAATGATCTAAACGCAGGTGTACAAAGTCAGTGTCTACTTCACATGCAATTTGTACAGAGACACTTACCCTGGGCGAGGTCGGTCACTAGCGCTGCGGTCATCGCATTGACATGGCCCTCACGGTAAGCGACCCACACCTCGTAGATGACATCCCGTATGCGGTTGAACTTGTAGAGGAAGCAGAGTACAAGAAAGTCACGGCGCAACTGTTCTTCCTCTGCAGTCAGCAGATTCTCCTCTGGTATCGGCGCCTTCGTCTTCGTCTTGGAAGTCAGAGGCTGCTGCTGCTGGCTGCCATCATCCATGTCAACCTGGTCCCGCTTCCGCATCTTCTTAAGTAAATCGTCCTGTTCGTCTTGGCTTTTGTTGGACTCGGCGGGAAACTGGATGAAGACAAGGGTAGGCGTGTCAGTCTTGCCGTTTCGAGCCTTATTGATACCGGGGACAAGATCCTTCAGCACCGCCATGAGCGCTTCTAAGCTGCCATTGAAGTATTCATGACCCAGGTCCGCCGTGTTATTGTGTTTGTGATATTGCGTTACCTCCTTCCTTGACCGGATAGCGTCTCCCAGGTCGTCGATACCACTGGTGTCCGCGAGCGGAATGCTCGTAGCGGCTATGGCGTTGACGAGCTGCTCCTGTTTCTGTAGCGGTATTCTGTAGCCCTTCTTGTTCTTTTTCTTCTTAGCCTGGTCTGCAACCACATTTGCAATCTCCACGCCACGTTGGAAGGCTGTCTGGAGCAACCACGCTTGGAATTGGTCGGTGTAGGTCTTGTAACGCTTGACCGTCTCGGGGAGTTCATTTTGTCGGTAGTAATCCATTTCTTTAGTAGACTGGATCTGCAGCCGAGGAACTGAATACAGGCGACAGTAAAGACGGGGAGGAGGACTGATGGCGGCAGATAAAGCTTGGGGGGCAGACTTGCAAGTGCACCAGAGGAAAAATCACATGGAGACCTGTGCTTTCTGACATAGGATGAATGACGAGTAGAGGACGAAACTTCAACGACAACTCGCGCTCAAGCGGAGGACTCACACTCGTACATTGCGCAGGGCCAAGCCAGGAAGGCGTAATTATGGCCCACTGAGATTTCGTTGCTGTGTCAACCCTGATGTTACCAGGTGGTGGCCTAGAGATAGCAAGTTCAGCAGTCTAAAGTGAAAGGAGCGCGAATACCCAATACCATAGCCCCTGTCAGCTCTGAAATTGTCACGAGCATCTCGTTACAGCTAGCATAGTCAATGGGAGACAGTAGCTGTGCTCGGCTGGAATTCGTCGTGGAATACATAATCCGGGACTGTATGCGTGGTCGTGTCGGCCGATGGTAAACCTTTTCTTACAGCAATGAGCGCCATTCCTTACTAGACGGCCTCTCCAGACCCAAATGGTCACATAGCTGACCCATGTGATCGACGCCCCAGTACCCCTCAGTCTCTCCTCTCGCGTTGGTAGCTGTCGCACATGGTCAACAAACACTTTCCAATTATCCGACAGAGCACCAATTCTGCGCTTACCGACAAACCATGGCAGCCCAAAGGCGCCGTCTTCAAACGCCTTGGTAGTGTTTCCGCCCAGAGCCTGCTTCACCTCATCGGTCTTCGTCCTCGCGATCACCTTTTGCGCCTCTTCGTCACTGCCCAAAACAGTCCCAAGGATAGCCTGCAGATTCTCCGGCTTAGTCGGGTCGTTCCAGTGCGCCCAGAAATTTTCGTAGCAGAGCTCTATTGCGCGTTCAAGTTTTTGTGGGTGAGAGAGCGAGAGAGATACCAGGGCGCGCTGAATGGGCAATGTGCTGACAGGGAAGCCAGGCGGAGCATCTTGCAGGATAGGCACGTTGAACTGTTTCGACAAGCGCTGGCGCTCCGTATTGATCCACTTGTCTTTGTCTGTATGATGTTAGAGGTCAGGGTAGACAGTGGCAAGTCTGAGAATAAAACTTGACATACTCTTGATCTTCAGCGGCGGTGTGTTCCCACAGACCTTCATCAAACCCCCAAGCAGGATCGGCACATATTGCACCTCGACCTGTTTGAAGGCATTTGAATTCTGCACAAACGCTTCGATTAGTACCGCATTACACCTCTACGTCTCAAACGTGCTTCAACCTATACCACCACCCAGACAAACTCACCTTGAGGACGTGGAAAGCAATGTAGGCAAACGGGCTCACAATGTCCACGTAGAATGTAATCTTCGGCTGAGACATGACCGGCTTTCTTTAGAGAGCGAGTCTGTGGGAGCTGTTGTGGGGATAAGACAGGGGGTGCGACTTTGTTCCTGGCACCATGCCCTATGTATGTAGGTGCTGGGTGAGGAGTCGGGACCGGTGATCTCATAGCCGGTCAGAATAACCGAGGCACAGACGGCGATCCATCTATTCGCAGGCCGTCATCTACTTACACCGATTTGGCAGCTCCAAGAGATGCTGGTCACTGTCAAAGAATATGCAAGATCCGAGGAGCTGTTGCTTTACGCCGAATATTCCCTGCGGCTGAGGGCTGGAGGATGCGCTGGCGACCATCATCTTCGGTGTCACGCAAAGCAAGTGCAACAGCCGCACACGTAGTTCGATAATGACAAACTTTGGTATCTACCCTGCGCCTATAACACAGCTACTCGCCTTGAACTCATCACTGAACAGGATCTCCTCGGAGTGCCTTCAATCAACCATTACAATGTCTCTCTCCAGCTGCGATGTGCCATTCGTAATGGCCTTTACCTCCCCAGCTACTTCATCCATTTCCTTTAGAGTAAAGTCCAGCAAGTAGCTCTCGTCTACCAACTCCTCTACCCGCTTGTAGTGTCTCTCAGAGTACACCTTGATAGCATCCAGCACGTCCTTCAAACTGCCCTTCGCCCCTACTTTCCCCTGCGGCCTCAGACTGGCTAGCCGAGAAGCAGGGTAGGACTTGACCACAGTCCATAGGATTTTTTGAGCGATCGGCGCGGTGCGGACGTTGCTGTTCCAGTCACGGAGGCGGATGAGCAGTTTGTACAGCTGCTCGTCTGCCAAAGAGGCGAGTACTTCGTCAACGGTATGGAGACCTGAAAGGCTGTCTGCATCTGGGTGCTCAGTCTCTACTACCGACTTGAAGAGGGAGAAGAGGCGGGCTGGCTGGTCCATTTGGAGGGCGAGTACGATGGCTTCGCGGTAGTTGCCGGCATACGTGTAGTTTTGTAGTTTCTGATCGAGTTCGACGCGTTCTGTCTCTGCAGTCGTCGCAGCTTCCAGCGTGGAGCTTGTTGTATCCTCCCAGAACGTGATGACACTGTCTCCACCACCAGAAACCAAGGCGCCTGTTGTTGGATGTGCGGCGAGCGCCCAGACACGGTCGGTGTGGTTATCGAGTGTGGTCATGGCCTCGCCCGAGAGTGAGTCCCAAATCTTGACAAGCCCATCACCAGCTGCAGAGGCTACTTGCGGACCGCGCTTGTCTCGTGCATCGACGGGCCGGTAGGGCAACCACGACAGCTTCAAAACACTGTTGGAGTGGCCTTCCAGGGTGAGCAAACAGCTGTAGTCTGCTAGGCTCCATATCTTGACGGTTTTGTCGCCGCTGCCTGTTGCGATCAGGCCCTTGTTTCCCGAGTTTGGCGCCTGCGACGCCTTGGGTGCGAACTTGACCGACCATACGCCGCGTTTGTGGCCCCGAAGGACACCGATGGCCTCTCCCTCTGCGGCGGAATAAATCTTGACGGTGCGATCCTGCGATGCGGATGCGAAGAGACTGCCAGAGGGGTCGATGTCGATGGCGTTGATGTCTCTGTCGTGTGCTTTGCGGGTGTATTTGGCTCGCAGTTTGCCCTTCATCTCTTTGGTAGTATCCCACCGCTTGACGGTCCTGTCTTGCGATCCGGTCACGACGTATGCGGGAGGATGCGAGAGGGGGTCGGTAAAGGCGGCTGACGATTCCTGAGGTATTGTATGCGGCAATGCAATCGCGCCGAGCGACTCGGCGTGGCCAGTGAGGACTGCGGCGCAAGTGTAGGATTCGTTCGCGGGATCGATTCGCCATAACCGTGCCGTATTGTCTTTGGCACCTGTAGCAAGCCAGTGGCCTGACCAGTCTACGTCCAGACAGATGACGATGTCCTCATGTCCTTTGAGCAAGCCGACATCCGCACCGAAATATCTGCCCTGGGTTGCATCGTCTCCGTCAGACTCGTTCAACGTGATGATGCGGATGTCTTCCGAGTTGGTGTTGAGCGCCAGTAGCGACTTGTCTCTGCCAACGTAGGCAATGTCGATGACCTCGTCGTGCGTTCCCGAGACGCGGCGGAATATGGGGAGCGGGTCGATGGTGTCCTGCACGCCGAGCGACTCGGCTGGTCTGAGGGTGTAGAAGTTGAGCACTTGGTCGGCATGGACCGAGACCAAGTAGGGTAACGAAGGATAGTAGAGAATGTTGACAATCTCGTCCGTCTCGGTTCCAGGCGCTTGCTCTCGGGTGAGCTCTCTGCCGCTGGACGCGGACCAGAGGCGCAGTCGGCCGTTCTCTCCACCCGAATACAGCGTGTTGCCGTCGGGGAGGAAGCCTGCGCTCTCGATGCCTTCGAGAGCAGCAATGGTGCGCTGCGCCTTCCACGTGTGCGAGTCCCAGACAATCAGCGTCTTGTCTCGGCTGGCAGACACGAGGGCCTTTTCGTGCGGCGAGTACTGTAGCGAGCGCACGACGGAGACGTGCGAGTCGAGCACGGCGGCGCTCTTGCGCTTGTGCAGGTCCCAGATGCGTATCCGGCCGTCTTCGGCACCAGAGGCCAGGCGGAACTGCATCTGGCTCTCGCCCTGGGCGTGCTCCAGCTCGGCAGCTTCTGGGCGCGACTTCCTCTTCCTCTTCCTGTTGTTGTCGGGGGCGTCTGGGCGCTCCGCCACCTCTACCTCGAAGAAGTGCAGCGCCGAGACGACGCCGCCGTGGCCGTGGAAAGCGTGCGTCGTGTAGCCGCCGACAATGTCCCAGATCTTGACGACGCCGTCTGCGCCTCCGGTTGCAACCAGCGTGCCGCTGCGGTCTGTGGCCAGGGTGACTACGGGCGATGTGTGGGGCCGCAGTGTGCGCAGAAGCTCGAGCTCGATGGTGTCGTCGTCCGTGGCCGGGGGGTGGAGGGCGAAGAAGCGCATCGACAGCGACCGCGAGCAGACGACGAGGTGGGATGCAGCTGGCGTCAGCACCAGGGCCGTGATGGCCTCGCCGTCGCCGTCGACCCTTGCCAGCTCCTGGCCGTTGGTGAGGTCGGACAGAAGGACATCCTCGCCCAAGCTGGCGGCCAAGACGCGCCCGTCTTCGCTGAGGGCCAGGCTGCCGCCCGCGTAGATGGGCTGCAGGGTGCGAGCGACGCTGTACGTGGTCTTGACGGCAGCTCGTTGCGCCGACATGATGGGCCGTGTGGTGCAGAGGCAGAGGCAGAGGCAGCGGCAGCGGGAAGCGTGTGCTGGGCGAGCTGAGGGCGCAGGAAAAAAGTTTATCGATAAGGCGGCCCTACCGCGCGCTGACGTCTGGCGGCGCGTCTCCCGCACACCCACCGTGCCACCACCACCACCACCACCATGGGCCGCCAAGCCTACCTGGACAAGATGGCCTTTGTACGGACCCCGCCAGCGCCGCGCGCACATGCTGGCTAACACGGTGCTAGGGGCGCTCGGCCTTTGCGCCCACGCAGGCCGCATCGCAGTCGGCCGCGTACGTCCAGCTCGAGTCGGCGCAGGCTGACGTCCCGCCGCGCTACCACGAAGCGACCGCCAACAGCTACGTCCAGCTCTACGACGAGCGCGGCAGCCCCATCAACCCGCGCTCCCACCAGTACGGCAAGAAGCTGCGAGGCGCCCAGAACGATGTGCTGGCCTCGGTCGGCGTCGTCGAGCGGCGACACGCCCCGGCGGGAGCCTTCCCGCGCGCCAGCCACGACCGCCTCGAGCTGCTGGAAGCCGAGGACACCGTTGGGAATGCCATTGCACTGGCGACCACGCTCACCGAGAACCTGTGCACCTGGTGGATAGGCACTCTCAGGGAGAGGATTCTGGCACGTTCCTGCCGCCGCCCGCTCGTGGATCCACTAACCGGCGCAGACGTTCCACTATCCCCATGCCCTCACCTTTGTCCAAATCGCGGCCGCTGAGCGTGCCCTCTCTGGCGCCCCCATTGTCTATGCCGGCTTTGCCGCGCGCGTGTTTGCGACCATGCACATCCAAGCCATTGTCTACAGCACCTTTGTCTATCAGCCTGTCGAGCGCTTGCTCTATGCCACACGCGCAACCGCAAGGACACGCAACTTCTTCCGCCACGCCAGGAGAGCCCTCAAGTCTAGCCTTCGCCTGGGCCTCGAGATGCTGTGCTATCCCTTCTTCTACCACGCTGCGTTGCAACGCCTTGGACTAGTGCCCGCCCGCCCACTGCTGCCAGCCTGGCGGTCCCTCAATCCTCTCTCAGACTCGTCGCCTCTGCTGCCTTTCTCTGCGCACTGCAAGGCGTCTGAGTCCATGGCGGACTGCATCGGTGCAATCTTGACCTCGCCCGCCATCCTCCTGTGTGCTGAGCACTCCATCGAGCGCTGGGTCTACGCCTGCGTCTACGAAGCTGTCGAGACGGCCATGATCCGTCCTGACGAGCCCGACATTCCCAGCCGGGACGCCAGTGGAAAAGACCGGGCCTTGGCTGTTCTCGGGCTGCGACGGGAGTCACCGCCCCTGATTCGGGACGCCGTTCACAGCCTGCTCGCATTGCTTGGGTGGGCCCGACCGGTGTCCCCTCTGAGCGCACAAAGAAAGCGGGCAATGGAGCTTGCACCCGCAATCGCCTCGAGCGAGATCCAGACGCTACAAGTTGGTGGCACTCAGGTTACCGGCGCTACCCCACTCAATCTCCCCGTCCTGCACTCGACAGATCACCCTTCCGCAGAGCCGCTCGATGCAGATGTCATTGCCGTTCCGATCGATGCATTTGAGGACCTGGTGCGATCTACCACCCCGCCAGGGTCGCCGACACAATCGGAGCAGAACGAGAACGGTCCCCGGATACGCATAACGTCGAGGGAAGGAATCGTAGAGATGGAAGTCCGTCTCCCGCCTAGGATACTTTCCACGCACACGCAAGTCGCAGAAGGCTCGGATCCGTTGCAAGACGACGCAGCTGCCGGGTCAAGGAACCGAGCCCGCTCAATGGACGGTCATGGTTACCACCGCGTCACGCAACTCTCGTGTGAGCCGGCGCAGATGATCAGTGCAATGGTCAGAGCCCAGCTTGTCGGCCTTGTCATGCTCCCATTGAGGATGGCCACTTTGCGAGCGATTGCCTCACATTTTGTAGCCAGGCAAGAAGGGCATGCAGGGTCGTACCGCATTGTGGGTGGGTTGGGTCTCGGTGAGGGTGTGGGCTGGCGGAACATTGGCACCCAGCTCTCACGCGTAGCGCTCTGTGGTGCACTGGAGCTGACTATCGATCTTGGCCTGTGGGGATTGCAATATCTGGCCATTACAAAATTCGGGCAGAGTGTCTTCGGATGGGGTGCGCTTTGAGCGTATCACTCGCTTGGCAGACGGCACCATGGCCAGTGACATGCTCGGCAGTACCCGATGCAGTGGCCTTGGAGTGGCACCTCTGGCGGTTGTGTTGTTTCACGAGTAAGGAGACTCGAGTGCCGGCATGGACAATGCTCCGAAGGGGAGCAGTGGATAACAAGGTCCCCGCGATACCGGTGGGTTGGTCCCTGGTTGGTCACCATGCTGGAGCATGCTTGATCACGAGGCCATTCAAGCGAGGCTTCCCGACGCCGGCGGGTCATTGGTGTTTGTTGGGCCGGCAGTCGTTGGTAGGAGTAGTGGTGGCTCGGAAGGCAAACGCGGCAGCACGTGCAATGTGGCGCGCTCCCGCAGCACCAGCGCGTTAGTCTCTGGCTGGAGAGGACGCGGCGACATTGGGGTTTGGTGCAGTGAGGCGGAGACTGCGGATGGTTCTGTATGTAGACGGGCGGATCAGCAGGGATCGCCATCAGGTCTTTGTATAGCGTCACAGAAACGTCGCTACCAGAGGCGCTGCGAGATGCCGACAGAACAGCATGCGCACAGAGAGTAGAGGCAGCCGGGCCAGGGTCTGCAGATGGCAGCTGCTGTGGGTGCCGACATTAGTGAACCCCTTTTCCCAGGTACACAGGGCCCTGCGTCTTTGGTGCGTTCGCGCGAACAGCCACGCCGCCCGCCCGTTCTGCTTGTACTGGCACGGCGCTTTCATCGGTCGGTCGTTCCTTCGTCGGGCCCCTGCACCAGCACCTGCACCTGCCCCGAGTCCCAGGGGATCCTGCCATCCATCTCATCACCGCTCCTTTTTCCCCACCACGCCAACACACTGCCGGCCGACCTCACTCTGAGCGACGCTGAGAGACGCTGCCCCCTCGGACGCGCCCACGACGTCCCCGCCTCGACTGCGACGACCCGTCTCCGCTGCACTGCCTTTGCGCTTGCTTCCCGCGCCCAGGGCCCTGCCTGTCCGCGACGCACTCGTCCCCGCCTACCTTGCGAGGCCCCGTCGCGTTGCTGGAGGGCCACGCCGGACATGTGCACAGCGGCATAGGCCACCTGCAAAAACAAAGCCTGTCGGGCCCACGACTGCAGCGCCAGCACCTCTGCCGCCCGCCGCAGCACTCGTACAGACGCGCCACCCCATCACCATGTCCGCCAACTCGCTGCCTCGCCCGTCGCGGCCCTCGATCGCTCCGCCCACCGGTCCCTTGCCCTCGCTGCCCGTCCCCAAGTCGCGGAGCTCCCACGTCGGTCCGACGACGCGCAGCTCGCTGCTCCCCGGCGCCGCCAGCACACGCGCTGTGTCGTCGTCGTCGCTGCCCTACCGCCCGACGTCGAAGCATCTGACGTCTCCCTCGGTGCCCTCGTTCCCGCCCGACGCTGGCGCTGCCGGCTCGCTGCCCGTGGGCAAGTCGCTGCGCAAGACGGTCAGCATCGGCTCCTTTCCCCAGCCGCCCAGGCACGGCGGACGCTCCAATCCCACCAGTCCGCTTTCCACCAGCTCCACGCCCGGCGGAGACACGGTCGACCGGAGGCTGTCCTCGATATCCAAGGGCCCAGCGCCCGCCCGGAGCAACAGTCTGAAGAAGCCGCGGAGCTCCAACATGGGCGGCGCGCGAGGCCTGCTCCCCAAGTCGCCCCTGTCGCCCCCGAGCCTGCTCAACGGCAGCGCCGACTCCGTCACCGTCGAGACGGCCCATCTCAGCCTCCCCTCGCCGCCCCAGAGCCGCACCTCTTCGCCGCAGGGCTCCTACGCCACCAGCGCAACCACATTCGAAGACGGGGACGACGGACGCGCCGACGCCAAGGCACACAAGGACGGCAAAGGCAATGTCATTGTCAGCGTCCGCGTCCGCCCCGATGCCGGCGCCAAGGAACCCAAACACGATGTCGAGTGGCAAGTCAACAACAAGCAGGCCCTGATCGCCTACAAGGGCAAGGAGGGCGGAGACTACATTTACGGTATGCTTGCACACGGCGAGGCTCGCTGCACCGGAGCTAATTTGGCCTGACCTAGACAACGTATTCGATACCCAAGACAACAACGCGCGCGTGTACGATGCTGCAGCCAAGCGACTCGTCCGGAGGGTCATGGAGGGGTATCACGGCACCGTCTTTGCCTATGGCATGACGGGAACCGGCAAGACCTTCTCCATGCAAGGAACTGCGACGAACCCCGGCGTCATACCCCTGGCCATCACCGACATATTCTCCTACATCCGGGAGACGCCCCAGCGGGAGTTCCTCCTGAGGGTCAGCTACATCGAGATCTACAATGAGAAGATTATCGATCTGCTGGCGGGGCCCGTCGTGGGCATCAACGGCCAGACCGGGCCCGTGGAAGAGATCAAGCTGCGCGAGGACAGCAAGCGTGGCGTCTATGCGTCGCCGCTCAAGGAAGAGATTGTGCAGAGCCCGACCCAGCTCCTGAGGGTCATCGCCCGGGGTGACAATTCGCGAAAGGTGGCGGGTACGCAGTTCAACGCGCGCAGTTCCCGGAGTCACGCTGTCGTCCAGATCGTCGTCGAGAGCAGGGAACGCGCTCCTGGCCCTGCAATGAACGGCGACAAGCGCTCAGCCATTGTCCCGGGCGGCGTCCGTGTTTCGACGCTCAGTCTGATCGATCTGGCTGGCTCTGAAAAGGCGGCGGACAACAAGGAGCGGAGGACAGAGGGCTCCCACATCAACAAGAGCCTGCTCACCTTGGGCACAGTCATTGGCCGCTTGGCTTCGGACAAGGACAAGTCGGAAAAGGACAAAGGAAAGGGCGACAAGCACCTGCCGTACCGAGACAGCAAGCTCACCCGACTTCTCCAGCCCGCCCTGTCCGGAAACTCGCTCGTCAGCATCCTCTGCACTATCCAGATCGGAGCCAGTGGGAGTCCCGCTGCTGTCAACAGCCACACGGGCGAGACGCTGAACACGCTCAAGTTCGCTTCTCGAGCCAAGAACAACATCGTCAGCCACGCCAAGAAGGCCGACGAGTCCATGGGCGCTGCTGGGGATGCCGGCAGCCGAGCACTTCTGGATCGCTACCGCCTGGAGATTGAGGATCTGAAAAAGCAGCTGGCAGAAGGCAAGAACAAGGAGCCCAAGGAAGAAGAAGACGACGAGCTGAAAAAGGACAAAGAGGAAGAGAAGGCGCGCGAGTTGGAAGACAAGCAGCGCCATGAGGAGCAGATGCTTGAAATGCAGCTCGCCCGGACTGCCCTGAAGGAGCGGATTGAGCATCTGAACAGGCTGATCTTGAGCTCCAAATCGCTCGGCGTGAACAACGGTCGGTCCTTCTCGTCAATGAGCTTCCAGCGCGGTTCCGTCATGAGCAATCACCACCACGACATGCGCCCCAGCTCCATACGCTCCTCGGCAAGCCACGCCACCCTCGAAGTCCCAGGCAAAAGACAGAGCACGCCACATCTCCACATGGACGGCTCCGAGGAAGACGACTCGGTCGGGGAGAACGGAGACGGCATTGCGAGTCAGACCGTGCAGATCCAAGCCCTGCAGGCTGACCTTGCGGATAAGAACCGTTACATCGCGACCCTTGAGAAGCGCCTTTTGCATGCCCGGCGCTCCAGCCATTCTCGAGTTTCCATGTCCTTGTCGCACAAACTCACAAACAGCGAGGAGGGCGGCATGATTGCGGCGCTTGCCGAGAGAGACAACGAGATAGTCAACTTGCGAGCGCAGCTGGAAGACAAGGAGCGCATGATTGGCGCCCTCACGTCGGCTCGCAAGAAGAACGACAACGCACACGAGATGGGCAGCGAGTCGCCCGGCAGCCGGCGTACTTCGGGCTACCAACGCAGCGGCAGCGACGGCAGTGGAGTCAGTCTTCTGCCCAAGGGTCCCACATCGCCCGCGCTCAGCGTGAAAGCGCCATTCCTGCCTCCACCAGCTTCCAATGGCTCAACCAAGAACATCGAGGAGATGACGCGTATGCTCGACGAGATGATAACCGGCCGCGTCGAGAAGACTGCAAGGCGAAGCAGTCTCAGGCCCGTCACCGAGGGACCATGATTTTGCCCAGGCGAACCGATGAATCAGCTCGATCGAGATGAAACGAAGTACGGTAATGAGGATGAGATGAGATGAGATGAGATGAGATGTCGGCACGAGCGGCGCGGGGCACAGTACTTGCAACTTTTCTTCTCATTCAGCAACATCCTCAACTGCGAGGAACACATTAGCGACAGGCGTTTATTGGCAACGGAGTAATCATGGCCCAGGAATGGACTGGAAAATCGGATGTAGCGTACGGGACACGTACGCATGCTATGCAGGGGCGGCTTTCTGCTTGTTTACTCATTGCGATGCGCCCCGGAGGATTGTACACTACTACTTTTCTTTCTTCATCTTCCTGTGCCGAGGGACTTTCGATCTGATACCCCCTTTACATAGCTTTCGCGCATCTTTCTTGCCTGCAATACGATATGGAGCCATGGAGAGTAGCTTCCACACCCTCTCGATGGAAAGTGTGCTTTGCATTCAGACCCCGTGCCGTCTTACCAGCTGCATCTCACAGGAGCCCGAGTACTGACGTGCTGTGCCTCCGATCCCGAGCTCCCGAGATCGTCTTACTTGCATGCGCATGACAGACTTCCTTTAATACACCTCACACCATCTGACTACACACTGTCTATTTCAAACTCGCAGTAAACGAACCAGTCAACATGCCCAAGTCCCAGGCCGCTACTGGTGTAAGCGACCAGTGGTGTCACTGTCATGTGGTTTTGGCTACTCGACCCTAGCATCGAAGGCGTTTGGCGCCGGAGACGGGTCGTCCTAACAAGCACCAGTGCGTCAACAACGTTGCACTAAAAGGCCATTCTGAAACAACGACGTGGCCCGCGCACATGCGACAAATCGAGCCACCCTCCTGCGCCTTCCGCATTTACACTGCAACCTTCCTGGATCCAGCAAGTGCCATCTCCCGCAATCTTACCTTTGATCCTATCTTGGTGTCTGCCGCGCATCTTGAATCGTCGCTTCGGTGCCCTTGGATCGCTTGCTGACCCTTCTCCTGCTAAGGACTCGGACGCTCCTGGATGGAGATCATTTCGTTGCGGGATCCTGCTCGGACGTCGGATTGTTTCTGGTTGTGAAACTCGACCTGCGCCAGGAGGGGCCTTCGTCCAGACACCTTAGGTTGCCACCCTTTTGAATGCCTTCTTGAACGGCTTCTTGAACGTCTGCTTCTCCCTCTCCGTTGATTCGCATCTTGAGGAAACGAAGAGACCGAGTTACATTCTTGTAGTTTTTTACCCCTACCGGCTTGTTTGCTTTGTTTGATAGGCGGTGCCTACGTCCCCTCTTTTGACTACTCACATCTTTACTTGCTTGTTGGAGCGTTCGCTGCAGGGTCAGTGACGTCTACCGACTGCATATACTAGCATTACAGCTTCGTCATCACAGTGGTACCATACACTGCAGGAGGCCGCCCGACTTGGCCGATATCTTACACCGTCCTCTGAATCCAGCAGGTCTACGGCAACCGACATGCTCAACCAGGCTGCGAAGAAGCTGTCCAAGATGCATGTTAGACGGAATCCGAATCTGTCCATACAGTCGACAGCTCACTACTCACAACTAAGCCCCCCGCCCCAGTCTGCCACCTCGAGTGCGTTCCTCTCTCCCACGGTCCCTTCGAGACGTGGTCTGCTTGCGAGATCCCCGCCGCCGAGTCCAAGCCTTCCGAGCCTGCTACCGAAACATGGCAAGAAGACGACCCAGCCGAGTCATTCAAGATTGGTAAAGCGGATACTCATAGGGTGCTGTGGAGTAGCATTTCTACTGTGGATTGTGCTGAGGCAGATATACGCACACTCACAAGGAGCGGCTGCTTACGAGGATGGCAACGAGGAAGAATGGGAGATGGTTGGTGGCAGTCAGTTGCCCCACGAGCCAGTTGCTCTCGCCCTCCAGGATGCGAAGGGAAAGATGAGGTGGACCGTGTCGATACCGTCCGACTATGAGTTCCCGCTCCGACCGGCACAGTACCGCGACATCTGCCACCAGTCCATGGAAGTCTCAAAGGGTCTGAGGCAGGAGGCGCATGCTTCGTCCGGGTTCGCGAAGAGGATGCTGAACTATTACCAGCAGGATCAGTATTACATCGACGTCCAAGAAGCGGAACAACAAGGCTTGTTGCCACCATCCAAGGCTGCAGGAAGGCCAAAGGGCTTTGTGGAAGACGAGGCTATCAAGGATGGCATCTCTACAGCGGGACTCAAGGTCTGTGACAGGACCTTGACCTATGCTATGGAGACGGAGGATGCAGGCTTTGGCAACACGCTGATGCGCATGTGGATGTCGTACGGTCTGGCCAAAGCTGAGAAGCGCGCCTTCTTCATCGATGACACGCGTTGGTATGTTCGTTCGTGTACCGCTGCTACTCGACACTGACACTCCCAGGCCCTATGGCAAATACTCGTCTTACTTCCAGCCTCCGCCCTCTGCGAACTGCCTCCCGCCTCCTCCATCCCACATCGTACCATGCCCGCACACCGCCCGCCACATCGTCGTCAGTGGGGCGACGCTCAAGTCCACATTCGGCCACTCTTTCACAGACGAGTGGGAAGACGCAACAAAGATGCGCGTCCAACGGCAGTCAAAGATCTTCGGCCTGGCTAGGACTGGCTACGAAGCACTCTTCAGACTTCGCTCAGACGACGAGACCTACGTCCTGCAACGGGCACTAGAAATGTACGGCGAAGTCAAGAGCGAAGGCGGCCTCAGCATCGCCATGCACGTCCGACACGGCGACAAGCACCCCATGGAATACCAATACCAGAAAGACTACATCCCACTAGCGCGCTACGTGGACACAGCGCGCGACCTCTACATTGACATGGTAGAGGGCGGTCTCAAGAAGAAAGCCCAGCGCAGCCTGCTCTCCTCCCCCTTTTCCTCCTCCACCGACCCTCTCGTCCCCCGCCACACAACTTCCAAGATGATACTAGCCTCGGACGACCCACTGGTCTACGACTCTCCCGAACTAGGTCCCAACAGCATCCGAGCCCAAGACCGCATCGTGCTCGCCACCAAAGCCGCTCTCGAAGCCGCACAATCGCAGCCCAAGAAGAACACGTGGATCGACGAGATTACGGGCTGGGAAGGCGGATTCTACCGCGACGTCTTCTTCTCTCTGGGCCAGCCCGTGGGCAACGCGGAGGACATGAAGAAGGTCAACGACGAAAGCGTCGATGTGCCTGATGGCGCTATGAAACTGCGCGAACTGGTTGGGCGCGCTTATTTGCTGGATTTGAGCGTACTGGGCAAGGCGGACACAGTGGTATGCACGGTCAGTAGTACGAGCTGTAGGCTGTTGGCTATCATGATGGGGTGGAAGAGTGCGATTGTGGAGGAGAAGTGGCGGAATATTGATGGCACGTTTGAGTGGAAGGGGATTATGTGGTAGAGGGTGTGCCTTTTTGGGGTACTTAGGTGGAGGCATGGATGTAGGAGGGTGGGTTAGCGCCGGAGCCATGTGGAGGAATGAATAGCAACAGCCGAAAATTGCCTTCTCCCTCCATCTTGTTTATTTCTGCTATTGAGCTTGAAATGTGAGGTGAGCATTCGTAATCCTTGCTAGAGACAGCACCTGGCAACGTCACATGTGTGGGCTGATGTATTACCAAGTGTTAATTAAGCTGCCCAGCTCTTCACCTGTTGTCTTCTTATCGAGCCAGTGCGAAGCAAGTCGCCAGGTCTGACTCGAAACCGCCCTCTTCTACATGTGAACTATTGGAGAGTGAGAGTGAGCCAGGAAGCGGAATCACTCGAATCGAAGCGAAGTTAGGAAAGACATCAGGCGGTATTGAGAGCATTATACGAGAGACACAATGGAGAGCAATAGCGGTTGGGGGGATGATAATAAAGGACATCCAAGCAAGCACCTCGATTGCCTTTGGTATATTCCCAAGCACCCGGCAGACATCAAATCAAACACCCCACCGGAAACTACTCATACAAAGCTCTACTTCTTCCTTGCTACCTTGCCTTTGGTTTCTGCCCTCTTCTCCTCTCCCAGACCATTAGGTATGCTTCCTTGGTAAACAGCGTCTCACCCCTCTCCTTCTCGACGTACAAATCTTGAATGCCGTACCACTCCTCTCTCGCTCGGTCTTTGACCTGCACTCTCCACACCTTGCTCTCTTGCTCACCCTCGACACTGTCGTCCTTCTTCTTGACAGCCTCATGGGTGATGTTGGCTACGAGATCATACCAGATGGGCTCGCCGGGTGGGTATTCTTTGGGGTTCGGCTCGACGTAGGGCGACATGTCGAGGGAGTGAACGGGAAAGGTGACGATAGTTGGGTTGCGCTCCGAGACGAACTTGTTCTTGGAGAAGCGCTTGATGTTGAAGAGGAGGTACGGCGGTAAGGGGTGGAGGAGGCGGTAGCGAACCCGGTTCTTGGACTTTTCTTGCGGCGTGACACCGTTGTATTTTGAGAGGATGTTGACGAGGGGGACTTGCGGGATGATGTTCTTCTCGAGTGCGTCCTGGAAGAGAGGGGCTGCGGGCAGGTCGAGGGTTAGCACGAGGAAACGCGATATCTCGGTCTGCACGGCTGCATCTTCAAAACGGAGACGGTCGCCGGCATCTGCACGGGCGGTGATCTCTTGCTGCTCGATCTTCAGCGTGCCTTGGAATACTTTCTGGATTATGCTGCTGTTGGGTTTTGTTCGCGAGCCGCCAACGGCCAGATGGAGGTTGTTGAGAAACCACGAGAGGAAGTCGACGGGGTCAGACTGATCGGAGAGCGTGTACCGTTTTGAGGACCGCAACGCAATCTCTTGGAGCAGTTCGTGGGGCGAGACGTGAGTCTTGAACGCCCGCGGGTTCCAGATCTTGCGGACAAGCGTGCTGAAGCGCTGCGCGAGCTGCGGCCGACTCGACAGGTCTTCCAACATGAAATAATTCCGCAAGGGGACCACGTGGGAGAGAGCTTGCACGACAACGTTGAAGTAGTCGTTCGCTTTGATGTTGTTCATGCCGACGAAGCCAGGTATATACTCTCGATTTGAGAGGTCCCACGACACTTTGGGCTCCCTGTCCAGCTTCGCGACCTCGTCCTTGGTCATGCGCGGATCCACGACGAATTTGATGTCATCCAACGACTTGGACGTGACTTCGTAGCCTTCGGGGAGCACGTAGACCTTCTTCGTCTCCATGTTGACGTATACGTGGTGTCCCTCTTCCAGAGCATGGAAGTAAGCTTGTGACTTTGGGCCGCGACCTTGGTAGTATTTGCCGCATACGAGGCAGGCGTAGACGTTGATGTTGGACAGAGTGACGGAGCACAGCTTCTCAAAGTCGAAGTCGAGGACTTTGCGATTGATCGTGTCCAGGTACAGGTCGGTGTATCCAGCCTCTGGGGCGGTCTGGCGTCTCGGCGCAGCGACGGCGGGCTCGTTGTCGTCTTCGTCCAGCTCCGCATGCTCCTCCTGGTGTGCGCCTGCGACGGCTACTTGCCCCCGGTCGCGCTGGCGCGGAGACATGGGGCGGCCGTTGCTGGTCGCGCCATTGGCCTGGGGGCTTTCCATGTCTTCATCCTCGACCCTGGCGCGCTTTGGTGCCGGAGACGGCGCGTCGTAGACTTGTTCGAGAGGCTCCAGCGCGGGTCGCTTGGACATTGTGCGCGGCGGAAAGAGGTGCGGTGCGTCGAGAGGCGGGAGAGCGTGCGCCTACAGCATCAGGCTTACGGCAGAGTCCGGTGCGGTGGTGAAGCATCAGAAGTCGTAGGCATCCAGACGGTCACGGGCTCCGGTGGAACCATTGGCCGGGGAAGCTCCGCAGACACCGCAAACACAGCTCCAACGCGGGCAGGCCGAGAAAAAAGTCGCGTTCAGACACCACCCACCACCCACCGCACGCCCTCCCGAATTCCCCTCCTTGCCTGTTTACGAGTGCGTGCAAGATGGTATGCCGCCCGCCGCACGCGAAGAGGCGCAACAGTACTGACGCCCGTACAGTCCAACCCCACCCAGATCTTTGCGGAGGACGTCACCGAGGAGAAGGGCGAGAATGCGCGTCTCTCGGCCTTTGTAGGCGCCATCGCCGTCGGCGACCTGGTCAAGAGCACACTGGGCCCCAAGGGCATGGACAAGATATTACAGTCGGCGTACGTGACCCCGCGCCGTGCATAGTGTGCTGCAACTAATGTGTGCAGTTCTACCGGCGAGATCATGGTCACCAACGACGGCGCGACTATCCTCAAAGCGATTGCCCTCGACAACGCCGCCGCCAAGGTCTTGGTCAACATCTCAAAGGTCCAGGATGACGAGGTCGGCGACGGCACCACATCAGTCACGGTCCTTGCCGCCGAGCTGCTGCGAGAGGCCGAGAAGCTGGTCGACCAGAAGATCCACCCCCAGACCATCATCGAGGGCTACAGGATAGCGAGCTCTGCGGCCCTCAAGGCGCTAGAGAAGATTGCCGTAGACCACAGCAGCGACGAGCAGGCTTTCAGGAAAGACCTCGAGGCCATCGCCCGGACGACCCTCAGCTCAAAGGTGCTCTCGCAGGACCGACAGCAGTTTGCCAAACTCGCCGTCGACGCCGTCCTCAAGCTCGGAGGCTCGACCGACCTCACGCACATCCAGATCATCAAGAAGGCTGGCGGAAAGCTCAAGGACTCGTACCTGGACGAGGGTTTCATCCTGGACAAGAAGTTCGGTGTGAACCAACCCAAGCGCATAGAAAACGCAAAGATTCTGGTTGCCAACACAGCCATGGACACAGACAAGATCAAGATCTTCGGTGCACGCGTCAAGGTCGACTCGACCGGCAAGCTCGCGGAGCTGGAGAAGGCCGAGCGCGAGAAGATGAAGGCCAAGGTCGAGCGCATCAAGGCACACGGCATCAACTGCTTCGTCAACCGGCAGCTCATCTACAACTGGCCAGAGCAGCTCTTTGCGGACGCCGGCATCTGCTCCATCGAGCATGCCGACTTTGACGGCATCGAGCGCCTGGCACTGGTCACGGGCGGAGAAATCACATCGACATTCGACCACCCGGAGAACGTCAAGCTCGGCCACTGCGATCTGGTCGAAGAGGTCATCATCGGAGAGGATGTCTTGATCAGATTCTCGGGCATCAACGCTGGACGGGCATGCACCATTGTCCTCCGAGGCGCAACCGAGCAACTTCTGGACGAGGCTGAGCGGTCGCTACACGATGCCCTTGCCGTTCTGTCGCAAACAATCAAGGAGCCCAGGACAACGCTCGGTGGTGGCTGTGCCGAGATGAACATGGCCAAGGCGGTGGCGGAGGCTGCACAAAACGTGGCTGGCAAGAAGGCCATTGCCGTCGAGTCTTTCTCCAAGGCACTCCAACAACTGCCCACGATCCTGGCCGACAATGCCGGTTTCGACTCAAGCGACCTCGTTACACGCCTCCGGAAAGCCGTCTACTCGGGCTTGACTAGCTCGGGCCTGGATCTGTTGTCTCCTGGAGGTGGCATCACGGACATGAGGGAGCTGGGCGTCATCGAGAGCTACAAGCTGAAGCGCGCGGTGGTGTCGTCGGCGTCGGAGGCTGCCGAGGTGAGTTTGCCCATTGTTTGATCTGGGACTCGACTAACATGATCTAGCTGCTGCTGCGCGTAGACAACATTATCCGAAGCGCGCCGCGGAGACGTGAGCGCATGTAGGCATGGGACGAGCAAGCGTGATGCCGTGAAGGGGTCGACACTAGATAGGTGTATACTACGGAAGTCATGAATGCAGTCAGACAAGCTGGCTAAGGACCATTTTTCTTTGCGTCATGCTCCATGTCGGACTTGATGCGCGTCGGCGGTTGCTGGCAAATGACGAGTGAAGTAATCAGGCCATGTCGCGAGGTGTCTCTACGGACTCGCGGGCATGCTCAGCCCTCGCAGCATGTCTTGTTCAGTTTCATGTCGTGGGCAGGGGCACAAGGGTGCCAAGGGTGGGACTAAAACGAGAGCAGGCGCGGCGAGACCCCAGTTTACACCAAGCCCCCGCAGATTAGCATCGAGGCCAAAATCCGCATCACGGCAGCGGACACTGCTCCTCCTCCTGCCCACGCCCATCGGCACCCACGGATGCTCCATCTCGCTCGCCCTCGCCGCCTTGCCTAGGCTTCCGCTCCATCGACGCAGGACCCTCGCCGCGCCATGCCGCGCCCGCGCCGGCCGCCCGGAGCTGGCTCGACGCTCACGACGCTCGCCCTCGTCCTCGTCACGCTTGTGGCCGCTCAGCAGCAGCATCCACTCGACCGCCATGTGCACCAGACGTCTGCCCGCGCCGAGGTGCACATGCTCGCACCCCATCACGGACAGGCCAGCCGTAAAGACACGGTAGGCGACGCCCCCGGCCGCCCTGCCTACACGCCCTTGAACGACCAGAACGTGCGCGCCGTAGCTACCAAAGTTCCTTCTGCTCCAGCCATCAGCGCTGTCAGAGCCCATCCTGCCAGACACGCTGCCTCGGGGGGCCTCGTCCCCAGTGCGCGCTCTCTGCACGATTGGGAAGTCGAGGACTTTGTTCTCCTGGCGACCGTCGACGGCCACATGCACGCACGCGACCGCTACAACGGGGAGGAGATCTGGGAGCTGAGCGGCCGCCCCATGCTCGAGACCATCTACAACGTCTCGGAAGACCGCCCCGGCCCCCAGCACCAGTCCTTTGTGTGGATCGTCGAGCCCCGCGAGGACGGCGCCCTGTACCTCCTCACCCCCGGGCCCCACCCCCAGCTCCAGCACCTGGGCGTCACCGTCAAGCAGCTCGCCGAGAGCGCCCCCTACTCGAGCGACGACCCGGACCTCCCCGTCGTCTACAACGTCGAGAAGAAGACGTTTATGCTCCTCGTCGACGCCGCCTCGGGCATTGTCAAGCAGAGCTTCACCCCGGGCGGCAACTTCCCCTACGACGACAGCTGCGCCCCCGACTCCAAGAACTTCTTCACCACGCGCGAGCGCGACTGCCGCGGCGTCATCGACATTGGCCAGACCCAGTACACCATCACCATCCACAACAAGAAGACCAACGAGCTCATCTGCACCCTCAAGTATGCAGAGTGGAATCCCAACAGCAGAGACAAGGACCTGCAGTCCCAGTACGACCAGACCCTGGACAAGCAGTACATCTACACCATGTACAACGGCGAAGTCATCGCCTTCGACTACAAGCGCCCGCGATCCCACCAGCGCCCCCTCTACCGCCAACGTCTGCCCTACCCTGTCGCCCGTGTCTTCGACGTTGCCCGCCCCCTGAACGACCAATCCAGCGAGCCGCCCCTCGTTCTGCTCCCACAGCCAGCCGGCCCCATCTTCTCCGAAGACAAAGCCAACCACGTCCTGCTCAACACCACCGAGTCCGGCGCCTGGTATGCCCTGTCCGAAGTCAACTACCCCGCAGTCACCGACGGTGCACCGGACGCAGCTTGCTACAAGCAGGATCAAGTATCCTACGACTGGGACTCGGCCTACCTGCTGCCGGACAAGAGCAGCCTCGTCGGTGTTCACAGGCTAGACTACCGGATTCCCAGCCAGCAGGCACAGCTGCCAGGCATTCCTGCCACGACGTACTACCCAACGTTGAACGACCAGGCCGTGTCCAATCAGCCTGAGACGTCGCACCGTGAGCAGCACCAACCACCGACCATAGACGCGACAGGCCAGACGCAGGACAGAATGGCTTCGATGAAGCTTTTGGTCTTTTTCCTTGCAGCTGGCCTATTCGTTGGTGCTTCCGTGAAACCAACACTACGCGAATCATGTCTGAGCCATCTGAAGAGACTATTGCATTCGGCCAAGGCCAAGTTGCCTCCCGCTCCAGTGCCCACCTCTGCCGAGCCGCAAGTACAACCTGTAGAAGAAGAGGCTCTACCTCTCCCAGTCGACGAGAACCTCGTTTCCGAGAAGCCGATGGTGGGAACTGTAGCGAAAGATGACATTGCCGCACCCGTTGCTGAGGAGGTCAAGGAGAAGAAGGTGACTTTTGACGTCCCAGACGACGAAGACGAAGATCTCGCGCCCCTTTCCAGGACCACAACTGTCGAACGTAGCCCCCCTGCCGAAGACGAGGTCCTGCCTGGCACTCCGCTCAACGTGGACGCTCAACCGATGACTAGCAGTACCGATGATGTTTCTCAGGATTCGTCAGCCGCGCCCACGACTCCCAAGAAGAAGAAAGCACACCGAGGCAGACGTGGCGGACGTAAACTCAGCAAGAACCAACAGAAGGAGGAAGACGAGGTCAATCGAATTGTAGATGCAGCCAAGCAGCTCGAGGTAGGACCGAGCCTGCAGCCAGATGAGCTCACTGTCAGCGGCGGCGACGTGCAGAACGTATCCGAGATCAAGCGGATCGGCAAGTTGACAATAGACCAAGACCGACTCCTTGGCAACGGGAGCGGAGGAACGTTTGTCTTTGAGGGTAAATGGAAGGTACGCTGAATCTCTGTTCGCTCTCAATTTCTTGTGCTAACGCCGCTTCAGGAGGTCAAGGTGGCTGTCAAGCGCATGCTACCGCAATACTTTGGACTCGCGGAGCAAGAAGTAAAGCTTCTGCAGAACAGCGATCCCCACCCGAACGTCATCCGTTACTTTGACGACGAGAGGGATGAAAACTTCCTCTACATCGCCGTCGAACTCTGCCAGGCCAGCCTGTTCGACCTTTACAAAGACGGCCGTCCAGGCGAGGAACTCTCCGAAAGCCATCAGCGTCTGGTGAACAAGATCAGCGGCAAAGCTGCAGCTTGTCTGTACCAACTGGCCGCTGGATTGAATCACCTTCATCATCTTCGCATCATCCACCGCGACATCAAGCCCCAGAACATACTCATCGCACAGCCGTTGATCACGTCCAAGGACGATGTACGGCTCGTCATCTCTGACTTCGGACTCTGTAAGACGCTGCCCGATAACGTTAGTACCCTTGTCGGAACGACTGGCAATGCAGGCACTGTTGGCTGGAAAGCGCCTGAGCTCATCTCGCAGCCCAAGGAACTAGCCAACGGCAGCTCGCAAGGCTTCTCTCGCGACTCGTCGAGCTCCACGGACCCAGTCGCCCAAGGCGTGAAGCGGGCCGTCGACATCTTCTCTCTCGGTTGCGTGTTTTACTACGTGCTCACCGGCGGCTGCCATCCCTTTGACGACGAAGAAGGCTGGATGCAGATCCGTGAATACAACATCAAGAAGGAGAAGTCGAACCTCGATCGCCTGCTTCTCGGTGCAGACTCTGTGGAGCCACATCGCCTCATCCACTGGATGCTGCGACCTAGGCCTGAAGACCGTCCCAACGCCTTCCAAGTGATGAACCATCCCTTTTTCTGGGATGATCAGAAGCGCCTTGATTTCCTGTGCGACTGCTCCGATCATTGGGAACGTGAACCTCGGGACCCGCCATCTGCCCACCTGTCGGTGCTCGAAGAAGCCTCGCAAGACGTGCTCGACCACAGACGCAACTTTCTCGCCAAGCTCGATCAGGGCTTCATCAACTCGCTCGGGAAACAGCGCAAATACACAGGCGACAAGATGCTGGATTTGTTGAGGGCGCTCAGGAATAAGAAGAATCACTATGAGGATATGGACGATGCAATCAAAGCAAAGGTGGGGCCTTTGCCGAGCGGTTATCTCAGGTATTGGACGGTCAAATTTCCGCAACTGCTTATGGCTTGTTACGAGGCGGTGTTGGCCTGCGACCTGGAGCATGAGCCGCGGTTCAGGAAGTATTTCGAGAGCATGAAGTAGTCAGGGGGTAGGTGGGGGTATTAGCAATCAACGCTGGATTTAAACGTGACTCGTTTGCTCATGGATTGACTGTGATGGCTACCTCTTCAAGCGACTACCATCCAGTTCCGCTAGACTCGCCCTGACCATGTCGGGGTTGTTCCTCAGCAGCTCTTGGACCCTCTTCTCGAAAGCCTTGATCATGAAGTCTGCCACCTTGGGCGCGACGCCCCCACTCAGAGCGGCATACATGGGGTTCGCAAACGCGAACTCGACTGCCAGACTGACCTGTGTCTGGTCGTTCTGTATAGCCTCAACAGTCCACTTACTCCGCAGGTGGGTAAGCAGGCCCTTCTCGCCTTCCCTTCGCTCCGCCGCCTGGTGCCCGCCGTCGAGGTGATGCGCGATATCCTCCGTCTTCAAACTCGTCTCGGTATTCCCGCCCACACTCTCCACATAGCGCCCCGGTATGCAGTACACCCTGCTCACGAAACTCTCGGTTATGCCGCCAAAGCCGCTGGTCAGGGTGCCCTCGGATGGCCAGCGCCGGCCGTAGACCTTGTCCGGTGCAGACCACTTGGTTATGTCGCTGCGCTGGCAGTAAGGCAGGAAGTGCTGGTAGTTGGGCACGTCGGCTATTATGGAGTAGACGGGGGCCGAGGGGTAGGGCAGAGTTCGCACGGCGGTCAGGATCTGTGGTGGCGACGACGAAGAAGGCAGCGCGGAGTTCAGGGCTTCGAAGGGGTTGGGCAGGAAGGTCCGCCGCTGCGAGGGGGGTTGGCGTGGGCGCGCGCAGCGTGTCGTTGGACGGGTGAATCGCAGGGATGCCATTACGGGTTGGCCAAGCGTCGATATATGGCGGAGTTGTGTATGTGCAGAGTTTGATCGGTGTCACCTCGACATGGTGGCTGAGCGGTTTGAAAGCCCAGAGCCCATGAGCGCATCACGCTCCAGATGGACCAGTTGACGCAGATCCGCGCTAGCCCTAGAGAAGATGGATTGCTGCGGCTGCGGCTCTGCATGACGCATGGGATCTCCAAGGCTGTCAGGGACCTCCAGGGCTGAACCAAACTCCTTTGGGCGCTAGCGCTCGAAATTTCCCCTCCATGAGTTGCAAGATTCCCCGCTTACGCGACTTTGTCAGGAGTCCGAGATGGCTGCGAAGACGGACAGCATGAACGGTGCACACGCGGGAACTGCCAGTGGCGCGAGTGTCCACGATGCCGGCGACTCGAGATTCCAGACAGACAACACCATGTCCAGGAAACCACAACCGAAACAGCAACTCTCCAAAGCAATGGAGCACATGCGCTTCGCAGTCACAGTCGATCCTGTTCCGCATACTCCAGCTTGCACGCCGCCACCAGAGGCTCTGACGGCCACATCGCCAGCCGCCCCCGACTCCGCCGAGAACGACGCTTATGGAGTGCCTGCTTCTCTACAACCCGTGCGCGCCCCACCGTCTCGCTCCCACGACCCAGACAACAATCAGAAGCGCAGCGATCCCTTTGCGTTCGGTTCGCGCTACCTGGAGGAAGGCGACAACATCTTCGAGTTCAACGCCTGGGACCACGTAACCGTCGACTCCAACTACCTCGCCTTTTCAGAAGAACAGTATTCCAGACAACGGCAAGAGCCGGTTTCCGACTTTGATCGCAAACGCTACAACGCACAGCCCGAGAAGTGGTGGAACCAGTTCTACAAAAACAACAAGACCAACTTCTTCAAGAACCGCAAATGGCTGGCACAGGAGTTTCCTATTCTAGAAGAACTGGGCGCCGAGGATGGGCCAGAGGCTACGCTGTTGGAGGTCGGCGCCGGGGCAGGGAACAGCGCCTTTCCCATCCTGCAGAGAAGTCAGAACCAGCGGCTGAAGATACACGCGTGCGACTTCTCCAAAAAGGCAGTCGAGCTCATCCGCAACCACGAACTCTACGACCCGGAGCGCATACAAGCTGACGTCTGGGACGTGGCCGCCGCTCCCGACTCGGAGAACGGCGGGCTCCCCCCAGGTCTGGCTGAAGGCAGCGTAGACGTTGTGCTCATGATCTTCATCTTCAGCGCGCTGAGTCCCAAGCAGTGGGACCAAGCCGTCCGCAACATCTGGCGGGTTCTCAAGCCGGGCGGCCAAGTCCTCTTCCGCGACTACGGCCGCGGCGACCTCGCCCAAGTCCGCTTTAAAAAAGGCCGTTACATGGAGGAAAACTTCTACGTCCGCGGCGACGGTACGCGCGTCTACTTCTTCGAGCAGTCTGAACTCGAGGATATCTGGGGCGGCGCCAGAAAACGCGATACTACCATTGGCAACGTGGCGGACACCACCATATCCCAAACCGAGGCCGAGGGTGTCATCGCGGATAAGATGGAGAGTCTGTCTCTCCACGATCCTGGCATGCAGACGAGAGAGCAGAGCCACGATGACGTCAACGATCTGGACACTCCCAGGCCGGGTTTTGAAATTGCGCACATTGGCGTCGACCGACGGATGCTGGTCAACAGGCAGAGGAGGCTGAAAATGTATAGGTGCTGGATGCAGGCTGTGTTTCGCAAGGCAGGCATGGAGAGCGAGGTGCCAACGAGCACGCTGAGGCAGGACAAAGAAGACGCTGCAGAGGAAGAGGAAGAGGGGCAGAGTGGCGTGGGAAAGGAGGATGCAGTGGAAGGAGGGGGCGTTAAGGTTTGAGGGTCCGAATCGTGAGGGTGGAATGCAAAGGTTGCAGTGGTGGCCTGTAGTGGGGATGAATGATACCATGACATATGAGAGAGAAGACGTTGTAAAAGTAGAGTATACTATGCGTCAAACCACTGTTGTGGTTAGAAAGCAGCGCTAGAGAGCACACTTGATTGACCCGTCGTGTTGTCTCCCGCCTCGTGGGTCTCATGGATCATACACAGCAGCAGATGCAAAAGCCTTTGGTCGAAAATGCACTGAATTGTGGTGTACCATGAGACAAAGACCGCTATGCTACGCTAAACTACCAGGCTCGTGATACAAGCTATGATGCGAACCCAACACCCAATGCTGCGCTTTCCAGAACCAGCACCTATAGAGCCTCAACCCAGGGTATCACAAGAACCGGTGCAAAGCCTACCCTCCAGTCCACAATCATGACAAAACTTCCCTGCACACGTCTAGTTCCCCTCAAGAATCCCCTTGAGAATCCCTGCTCCAGGTCCTACGAGTGAATCCGCCAACTCCTTTTCTCCAACAACACTAGCAACCCTGCGATCCTCTACCGCAACCCCGGGGAAGGCTTTGCCCCTGCCTCTCCGGCTCGGCGTGCCAGCGCCAACATCCAGCGACCCCGCTTTGCCCTCCACCGCTGAGACAAGCGAGAGTGTTTCCAGACTGCTCACAATGTCTCTGAACTCTGTGCTCGTCAGAGGATGCAGTATGTTTTCTCGTTTGCATAGCACGGTGTAGGCTTCGAAGAGTTCCTTGATGCTAGGGGATGTAGTGTGGGATCGGGAAGGTGTGGCCAAGATGCTATCGGCGGCAGTGGCGCGCTTCTTCTTCTCAATAGCAGAGAGCGAGCAGAGAACGGCTTTTTGTTGCAGATTGAGGTTCCGCAGGCGTTGGCTGGTGCCGTTGCTGAAGACAGCTGCTGTAATTCTGGCCATGTGGGCAATGGTGGCGCGCGGTGCAGTTTCGACGGTGAGCGAGGCGAGGGAAGCTGCGATGACGCTGTTTAGGTCTTTGGTTTTGGCGGGAGAGCGGATGGCCGGGGAGGAGAAGTTGATGTTCTCTACAAGCGGTGTTTTCGAGGGCGAAGGCGTGGGAGATGGTGTGATTTCTGTGGCTTTTTTCGCGTGTCGGTCGCGCGTGTCGGCTTCGACGAGGTCGATTGCTCGCCGGCAGATGTCAAAGGCTTTGCGCAGGTCGCCGGACTGGGCGGCTACCTTTTTGGAGAGGAACACAATGGCGGTTGGGTGGATGAAGGGCAGCTGTGTTGAGCCGGCTGGGAGAAGGGCTTTGAGTTTGGCAGTGATGACGGAGGAGATTTGGGCGGCATTGTATGGGAGGAAAGGCAGTAGCTGTGGCTTGAGACCGCGGGCCTTGAGTCGCGGGAGAAAGCGATCCGTGAGATCCAGCGCGTTGGCAATGCCGACCAGCACCAGCCCCGATGCCTTTTGTAGTGACCACTCGAAGATGTTGTAGAAGAGCTCGACGTCGAGCTCGAGCAGGTGGTCCACTTCGTCGAGGGTAACAACATACGACGTCTGTCGCTGCATGAAGACGGTCCGCAGCGCTTCCATCTCGTCGCCCTCTGCAACTTCGGTGATGTCGACAAAGTCTTCGAGCAGCGTCCTGTACAGATCTGTAGCGTTCTTCACGCTCATGCAGTTGATGTAGCCGGTTCTGACAGACTCGTCCGCGGAGACGGTGCGGCAGACATCGTTGACAAAGGCGCTCTTGCCGGTGCCGGGCGGGCCGGAGACGTAGATGCAGCCTGAGGTCTTGGCCTTGGTTCGGTTTGTGATGAAGGCCGCGAGCTCCCTCCTCTCGGTGTCGCGGCCGAACAGCGCGGTGGGGGCAGAGCCTCTTGCGAAGACCTGGCGCGCTTCGTGGTAGATGGTGGGCGCGGTGCTGCGCGGAGTGCCTGGGGTGTGGGGAGTGCGAGGCGTCAGCGGCCGGCCGGCGATGATGAGTCGGTGTCTGGGTGTAACGGCCACTTTGCCGGCAAGTGTGTCGCGATGCCTGGGCGTCGAGGGGGTAGGCGCGAACTTGTCTGGCAGGTCGACGAGCGCCTTCTGCGGAGAGTTTTCTTGGGCAGGACTTGTGCGCGCCTTCCTTCCGCGTCTCGCCGCCGCCTTGTCTCCGGGCTCGTCCACATGCTGCTTCTTCGGGGTGACGAAGGGGTTCTCAATCTCGCCCTCATCGTGTATCACGAACTGCGTCCTCCGTTTTGCGCGTGTTGCGAGGTGGAGCTTGGAGTCTGCAGAGCGCGTCAGGGACGTCCCGTCGTCGATGCGTGCAGAACTACGCGTTCTCTTTCCAAGGACGGTAGACGCCATCGTGTTGTGCGGCGGCAAGGTGTGATGCGTGGTTGTGGAAGTTGCGAAGCACAACGATGGAAGGAGCTACCTAGGTAGGCGACACCTGGGCAGGCACGCGCGACGCGATCGCGTTAAGTGTTCCAAGATTGGCCTAGTGCCGCGCCCGCATTCAGCACCACCTAGGCCCATCCGGGCTGAGGCTTCACGGAAAGCACACACCAGGCGAGACCAGCAGTCTTCCATCATGTACTGTCGTAGCGATCGAGCGTCGGTCGGACAGCGCTCAGTGTGTCACCCTGATTCTGTCGACTTGTTTGCTAAGAACCCTTGCGCCTCATGGCGCTCTCCAACGACATCACCCCCGTTTAATGTCTGGTGCACATCTACTAATCCCGGAAAAACGCGCAGAATATGGTCACCACCGCTCCACTGCCACTGCGTTTGCGTGGTACAATTGGGGTGCTCTTGGCACTCCACGGTCCTACGGGTGGTGCAAGAAGCAGGGCTGGTACTAAGCGTACGACGTGGGCAATCGGGAAACCTGGTAGCATAAGGGCCTTACGCCCAGTGCACATCAACGGCCATCTCTCCCTTTCCCCAGTTCCCGCATCACCCCTCCCGAGCCAACCGCGCGGTGCGGGGCATCGCCAACAGAAGAGCGCGAAATGCCATATCCAACATATCCGTCGTGGTCACATGGCTTGGATTTCTTCCCAGAGGCTTATCCGTACCGCTATACCAGTCGACGATCGTCTCGAAGGTCGCGCGTTCCTCGATGGGCATTTTCAGAGCTCGCAGTAGGGCCATGTTGCGAGTTTTGTGTCTCTCATGACAAGATTGTACGCTACACGCTGGCCACCTGACCCCTCACCGCGCCCGTCTGACCATCTACAGCCAAGTCTAGAGGAAGGTCTGTTTGAGCTGGGGATGATGGCGCCTCCCTACTTTGACCACATCCTGGAAGCTTACCAGGACATCTACTACCACTACAAGCGTGGTTTCGACCAACATGGCCCTGGATCTTACTACATCTCCCGCGAGATTGGGCGGCTATCAGAGCTGCTACGCAAGCTGTACTTTGCAACAGGTATGCGGGAGCTGGCTTCGTGGTCAAACCAGCTGAAGTACATGAGAAGCGACGTACAATTGGGACCCGGGCATCTTCAGCTGAGCACACTACCGAAGCACCGGCATAATTCTTGGTTCCTGCATTAGCGGATGGGGTGATAGATGCAGGCGCTTGGCCTGGCGGTGTTGTGCTCGACGAACTCATGTTGAACGCTGTATTGTTCCGTAGACATGGCCTGCACCCTCCTCAGGCAACCTGTTGCGGTGTACGTAAAAATGTTCGCTGCTGCCTGGTGCTGCTGTTTTGGCGATACAGCCGTCATGACGTCAAAGTGAAAGACCGGCGGAAGGTCGCGGTGACCGTGGAATTGTCCCGCTTACTTTACTATAGTCCGCACGAGCTTGTTATCTTGGTCAAAGGAAGCAACGATTGCTCCTTACTTTTCGACTTTCTATTCCAGATCTAATGTCCCCACAATCACAATTGCACGTTGGCTGAACACATTTGCGTACCTGAATATATTCGACTACAAATCGAACCTTCTCTTACCTACGAACATGGCCATCCCGCAAGACTCCGCCACTGCGAATCGGCCATCAAAAACGAAGGGCACACAGCTAGCACCCGAAGAAAATAGCGACATCGCGCGAATCAGAAATTGTCTCCAAGGTGGCGCAGACGCGGCCGAGGTCGCATCAGAAGGATACCGCGTCTGTCGCATCAACGCCTTTCTTCGGCGCGACCTTCAACAAGCTCGCAATGAGATTCGTAAGAACCGCGTCGACAGACAGACACAATCTGTTCATGAAGATGCTCTCAAGGAACTACGTGATGAGTTGCCCGCAACGCGCCAGATGCTCGAGCGCCTCTGGGGTTTGCTCGAGCAGCGGAAGGTCAAGATACCCGACGACGTCAAGGCCGACTATCAAGCGCTGAATGCCAAGGACTCGCATGACTGGCAGCCCCGGCAGAGGGTCAGGACAGTGAAAAGCGTAGTGGCAAAGGGCAAGAGAATCGAAAACCCCCAAACGAAGACGGAGAGGAAGGCTGAAAGACAGCGGGTCGATAAATTGCACAAGCGTCTCGAAGAAGGGAAAGCCAAGCAGACCAAGTTTCTGTTACACACCCCGGACGGCGAAATGTACGACGCACGGAAGCCTGTCCTTATTCCAGACGAAGCTGGAGACGAGGACGTTGCCGGCGAGCAGATGACAGCGGAAGAGGCGGCAGCCATCGAACATGCCGACTTCATGAAGAATGGCAGTTCTTACCGACCCCGGGCGCTTACTCTACCGTCTGGGCTTGTCGCGAAGAACGTCGTTGCGGGAGTCAAGCGCAGGTCAAGCGATTCGAATCCCTTTGCGACACTCAAGATGGGTGAAATAGAAGGCGTGTTCGTGTCGATCGTCGAGAGCCAGTTGGGATGAGTTTTGTTATCATCAGGGGGTATGGAGGTCTTCAAGATGTCTTTGCCATGAAAACGGGCTATGACATTGCCTGGCTATGTACTAGTGGTGTTCTCAGCGAGGCAACCGCGTCTATCTTGATAGCAGACTCATATCTTTCCTCATGACACAACATACCTGAGCCCCGAACTACCTGCATATTCTGACATTGGCCTTTGTTCCCGAGGACGTGGTCTGCGCAACTTTACCAAACGGTAGTATTCTGATGATGAGCTCATCTCATTTGGTTCCTGGCGTCGACACACAACTCCGACCCCGCAGTACATTTCTTACTGAATAATATGCTGGGAATTATGCCGAAGCTACCCACGCATGCGATTGATGGATGATGAATATGTGCGTCTCCACACGTGCAGCCGGTCGATTTGTTTGCTTTTTTGCTGAGTAACAGCGTCTCGCCTTGTTGATTTCACGCTCGTCTTCAATCAACACCAGCATCTACTGTCACTGTGCTTGAGTGTCTCCATTATTTCTTTGTTCCAGTCTCGCAAGCCAAAATCAGCGAGACTGCGTGTTCAGACGCGGCAATGTCGTGTTATCAAGGCATTCGCAAGGCAGTACGCGCCCGGTTCTTTCAAGCGAGGCCACTTCAGACACAGGGCGGGAAGGGGTGGTCACGTCGATGGTTGAGGTAACCCGCCGAGCAAAGCGCACTCGCGTCGTCGAGAGCCTCCTCGACATCGACCCGTCCTACCAGAAGATCACTCAAGCTGTGGATTCAATGTCCAAGATGTGACTGGCTCGATGGGTCCGATATCATGTCACCTCCGGGTTTCTGTTTAGGGCTTTTGGTCCGTAGTGCTTGACTCACGTGAGGAGGGCCTATGTCATCGCCTGGGCGCCTGTTGGCACCATTGCGTGCCAAAGCAGAAACACGGTGCACGCTCGCTCCGCTTTCGCGAGCAAGGAAATTACCATGCTGACATATCGCGCGATGCGTCATGTCACTACATGCAAGCTTCCAGTTGTGCAATGTACTCCTATGTACTCATCCTTCATTTGCACTTTCGCACGTCCTATCAAGCAGGGGTCGCACGGGCTGCTCTGCCTTTACCCCTATGAGTTTGACAGCTGCGTACAGTACCCCCCCCAAGTCAGGGTGCCTGGTGTTGTTCGGACTCTCTTTGTAAGATCCGTACACCCCATAGACGCTAGGCACCCGAACCAGAGGGGGGAACTGTACTGACAGTGGCCAAAAACGAGTGCCAGGCCCACACGGATGAACGGCACCTCTTATGACGTTTCGTCACTCACCACGGATAAGTATTGCGAGGCCCGAGTAGGACGCCAGCCTAGCCGATTATGCGTCGAGTTGAACAAACGGCTGCGGGTTCGAGCATAGCGTAGGTTTCACTTCCCGGCCGGCTGTTAGTTCCGTTCAACGGTGCAGGAGGATCTGCGGCCTACCTGCAGGCTGCGGAACGTGCCATGACTTGGCGCGCAAGAACCTCGGCCTCCACGCGAAGCGCTAACGGTTTGGGCGTCAGCAATTTGGAGACGCGGAGATGAACTCGACGGTGGGGTGCGCGCTTAGGAATGCCAACTCTATCGAGCGAGGAAAGAAGCCACTTGACACTGCTGATCTGGAGCTCAACTACACCAATGGATTCCACGCGCAGCCAAAGTGGTAGTGAGCGCATTCCAGCTTGCCCAGGTGGTAAGATATTTGCGACCTGGAGTATCAGCCTCGACGAGACATGGTGAGACAATTGTCTTGTCGGGCCTACAACCGGGTGTGCAAGGATTAGCGGCGGAACGTTGTCATTGTCGTCGAACACGATCTGTCGCTTGCAGGTGCTGCAATACTACGCCTGTGCCACATCAGGCCATGTAGACGGAGAAGGACGGCGACTGGTGCCGGACAAACGAGAAGAGCCAGCAGCCGATCGTAGTGGTAATTTCCAAGGCTGCCCACGAGCTGGCGGGTCACCAACTCCCAGTGCGTTGCCCGCTGGCTATCAGTCTTCTCGTGAACTGCGTCTCGAGATGCTCCACAGCGCCCCATCCCGAGTGCATCTCGCTTTCGAACATCTCATTCGGCAGCGCCAAAGTCATCGCGGTCTTGAGTTACCATGCATCATGCTACAACTCGCAACCAGTTCTGAAATGCTGATGATACCTGTCTTCTCGTACCCTCTCCTCCAGCCACATGACATTTGGAGAGTTGACTTTGCGTATATATCCTGATGCCAACAGTATACAGCAAAGGCAGGCTCTCATTGCCTTTCCATTTACGTCTCTTACTTTCAATCAATATTTTCAAGGTTTGCCTGCAGACAATGGCACCAACCACCAGATCCGGATCTGGATCTGGATCAAGTCCAATCCCAAACAGCCATGCACGACACACCTTGGCAGGCACGCACGCCACTGATATGTCTGAAACACGCATTCATCGTTACCTTGTTGTTGATCTACTCTGCATTAGAATCAATATCGTTCGCAGCCGCACCGAAGGCAATCCCTTACTGAATGTTGAAGCCGATTGCATGTTGCCTCCAAGCAGTAGACCGAGCACTGATGGCTTCAGGAGAGACTTGCTAGCCGAGAACATCCCGTCTCCTGCCAATGCTGCAGTGCTGGAACCTGTGTGGCTTGGCTATCACAGTTCGACGCACGGTAAGTTCCTGAAGGGCTGATATTACCTAGGTAGCGTGGCGGCGTGACGCATTGTGTAAGCAGCTATAACAATTAAACAGGTGCTGTTTGTAGAGCTCTGCCTGTAGTCCCATCCTATTGTTCTTGTTCCCCCAACTTCATCGTAACCTTTACTTCTTCTCTTCTCATCGCACAATGCGCGTGTACAGCCTCAGGTCTCGGCGCTCTCCCCTAGCGCCGCTTCGAAGTCCTCAGTCTCCCAAGTCGCGCAAGCCTCCGAAAAAGTCAGCCATGCCCTCTACCCAGACTTCGCGAAAGCCCTCTCGCCGGCGTTCTGGCTCCGGATCGACCATCCGAGCACCTCATCTTTCCGTTGGCGATCTCGTTGACCCGAACTTGGGAAAATACACACTCGACAACCTGCCCTTATTTCGCTGTGGGAAGTTGCCATCCGAGGTGATTAAGCAAGTCGAGAAGTTGGTGAAGTATATAGGATCAAAGGTCCCGATCGGCCAGAGATCCTCTTGGCTGAAGGGACACCTGGAGGACGCTCATCTCAACCACATCGGCTTTGGAGATGTGTTCGAGAGGCCTGATCGGGCCAAGGAGACGGAAGTGCTGAAGGAAATGGAACTGCAGCATCCATCACCGAGCGACTTTGAGAAGACGTATAAGGCTCTCCTTCCAAAGCTGCCAAAGTGTGAGACGCCGCAGATCCGGGCGTTGAAGATGCTCGATATGTACAGCAGGACTGGCTGGATGATGGACAAGGCGTGGGCCTATCTCGAGGACAACTTTAACGTTGTAAATGGCGGGTGCTGGATTGCAAAAAAGACGGCTTGCGAGGACTACCCGTACGGATTTCGCTCGAAGGATCGCCCTAGGCTTCATGTCACGGTAAGTACTACATTTTCGGTGCAAATACCGAAACTATACTAACTTTGCATTTCTAGCAGTCCAAAGTAGATGTACATGTACCTTACAACTGGTTCTCGATGATTGTACGCGGGTATGGACATCTCCTGAAATACTGTACTACGCGACGACAGGGTCTGAGATGGGATGTATCCCATCTGTGCGGCCACAGCCACTGCGTGCGTCCCTCGCACATCATCATCGAGCTTCATCTCGAGAACCTGGCTAGACAGCAGTGTGAGGGTGGCGAGCGATGTCGTTGCGGCGACATCCCAGACGCACCTGGCTTTGGGCATCGTTGCCTGGGCCGCCGGAGCTGTTCGAACACTTGCCCAGAGAATCTGCGGCGTTTGATCCGAGTAATCCCGAAGCTGATCAAGTGCAAGGGGTGGATCGACGGCAAAAATAACGATCCTAGGGATCGCCGCATGCGCCACCGGGTGACCAAGACGAAGTCTTACAAAGAGCGACTGCAAGATGCGCTTGAAGCTATCAACGCCACGAAGGACAAGGAAGCTACCCAGACAGCGCCCAAGAGGAAGGCGGACGAGGAACCTGTGGAGAGGATCCAGAAGAAGGCTAAAGCTGTGACGGAACGTCGGGTGTCACCTCGGAGCAAGGCCGCTAAGGAACCCGCGTTGAAGGCTAATACAGCCACAACTAGAGCGCAACGTCGGGTTTCTAGCAGGAAAAAGTAAGTTGCTACATCAGTGATAGAAAGGACTTGTGGGCAGAATAGTTCGCTTTCTCTTCGTATTATTACACAATTCATGCAAGCTATCCAAAATCTCCTCACGATCCTCCAACGTCCAAGTCCGCCGTGAAGTCTTTTCGAATCGTCAAATTTTCGAAGGTTTCTTGATTTTCAATGACCAGGCCTTGTTCGTTGGCCAGATGCAACAAACAAATAAAGCAGTAGCTTGTGGAGATATCAGCCAGGGTTTGTTTTGGGTAGACGGCCTGTAGGCTGTTGACAACGTCGGTAAAGGTCAACGAACCATCCACGGCCTTGTTTGCTGGATCGTCGGCAACATTGGGCTGAGGAGGCGCAGAAATCTGATGGTTGTGAGCTTGCGAGTCAGATGAAGACGGCTAGATACAACTTACGCCATCGAACCCGATACCCCTCCAGAGTTCGTCCTTTAGTCTTTTCACGTCCACCTTCTTTGCGACCCTTGCGTACTGGACGTATTCAGGCCGAAATCGTCGGCTTTGCGTCACTAGCTGAGCACCGAATGCGTCGGTCTGCGAACCCGGTTGCATGCCGTCGAGTGGTAGTGTAGCTTCAGGTGCGTCAGGCGGCGGCGAGAAGTGATCGCGCGCATCTGCAAACACATCGTCATCGTCGAGAGGGCCACTAGGTATCTGGAGACCATCATCCTGGAAAAAGTCGGCGTCGTAGTTTCCCTGTGCATCGTCACCGTCGCCTTCTTGACCCTGATGAGCCCAGTATGCTTCGTCCACGCGTGCTGAATCTCCAGGGAGTGCATGTGCACGGCGTCCTCCCTTGCGTGAGCCCATACGCGCCTTGGGTTTAAGGAAAAGACGCAGCAGCTGTTTGGAGTTGAAGTGCTTGTCGTCTGGGAGAAGGTTGCGCGACCTGGACTTCCATTGTGCTTTGGGTAGAGATATCGCGGAGTTGGATGTCGCAGGCGTGTAGAGCACATCTGCTAGTGTCTGTGACATTGGAGCTGTGAAGTCGATCTCGAATGGCTCCCTTTCCTTCCGTTTCGTCGCCGGTGCTGTCTTTGCGGAATGCTTGACGCGTGAGATGCGCCAATGCTCAGGCCCTGCCCAGCTCTTCTTAAGAGCTTGGTCAAAATAGCTAAGGATGTTCTCTTGTTCTTGGTCGCGGCCGTGCATCATGGACACGCCATACGGAGCGTCGGCACTGTCTGTGTTCTCGTCGCCATTCAGGTCCATGGTGTGGATGCGAGCTTGTGGATGCTGGATAGCCTCACGAGCCCAGATCTCCCCGCCTTCGCCAAAGCCCGTCTCTGGAGGCAGATCAAACCCGCCCATATTCAGGTCATGATCGTCGTCAAATTCCATGGGGTTATCGTCGCCGAGAAAAAGACCTGATTGGCTGCCTGCGTTGTCGTCTCCGTGCTTGGCTCCGTCTTCACCGGAGGAGTTGTCAGCAGCCTTGAGGAAGGGAAGGTCCATAGAGCCATTCACATCGCCGAGATCGAACGTCTTCATCGACGGACACACGTCTTGCCGGTCGAGCTGGGAAAGATCGTGGAAGTACTTGGCAGTCAGGCCGGATATGTCAACATCGATGGCGTCGGGGGCCAGTTGATGGTCATGAGTGGGGAGTGAATCTTGGGTGACGGCATCGTTGGCGTCATCGCTGCTGTCGAAGACAATCCTGCCGCTCCCGTCTATAGCCAGGTGGTTAAGAAGGAGTCCTTTGGCCCCGCCCTCGTCAAAGTCGGCCGAGGCTTTTTTGAAGAGCGGATCAACCGAGAACTCGAGCTCCATCTTCTTGTTCTGCAGTTGGGCAAAGGACGACGCGAGCGTGGCTTCTGCAGAGCGAGCAGCCCTCTTCTTGCGCTTCTTCTGGCCATGCTCTCCGGCTTCAGCCTCCTCGCCGTCGCCCTCATCCTCGTCGCTCCCATCGGCATCGTCGCCGTGTCCTCTCCGCTTCTTGCCCACATTCTCGGCGAGTCCGCTGAGCAGCTTGCCCGTGTCGGTCGCAACGCTGTCGACTCTGCTGGTGTAGATCTTGACGCAGCCGTCTAGCGTGCAGCTAGCCTTCTGGAAGTTGACGCCGTCGCCCTCTTTGAGCAGGGACATCTCGTGGAAGTAGTCGATGAGGGCGAAGTTCCACGAGTTGTTCGCGTTGATTTTCTGAGCGGGGCGTTAGCTTGGAGCAGCGACGACGGGCGTGCGCATGCCTACGTTGTCCGTCGCCATCTTCATCCATTCCTCGAAGTTGGCCAGCAGCGGCATAACGCGGGTGCCCGGTGTGACAGCAGTGCCAGTGACATCGGGCATGTCGTCGCCATCTTGCGACGGGGTGTGTGGCGTGTCGTAGGCGGCGGCAAGCGACACGCGGCGGCGTCCGGGAGTCGCAGTCGTAGTCGAGGCGCGCATCGAGTCGCGCTGGGCCTGTTGGTGCGCATGGCGGCGGGCGGCCTTTTCCTGGCGGTCGTCGTTGAGCGGCACTCTGCGGGCGACGGGTTAGCCTAGCAATGCGCCCGCGCGGAGCGTTGGGGCCTACCTGACAGGCGTCTTCTGGGGCGAGGCGGCCGTGGTATACTTGGTGGAGCGCGCCATGCTGGGCGATGGGTGTGGTGCTGCAACAGCGGTTCTGGCGTCGATGCCATGTTGCTGTTGTTTGTTTGGGCGCCACAGATGCCCCGCCGCTATCACCAGACAGGCAGCGGCAGCACCGCCACGCGCTAGCGCAGTGGCGGCATTTCCCCGGACCAGCCAGCCCAAACGCTTCACGCACCGCCCTCCGCTGGCTCGCCGCCCGCTGTGCCTTCACGCCTCGCACCGCCTAAAACCCGTCTTCTCCTCGACTCGTCAACCAACATGCCTCGGCCATGGACGACCTGACCATCCTCGCCCACGCCCAGCGGTTGCGCCGCCCCCGCTACTCGGCGCGCCCCTTCGCCCTCACCATACTCGCTGTCTCCCTCATCTCGCTGCTGGCATGGGCTCGGTCGCAAGCCCCAGCCGGGCGTGCTCTGCACACGAGGGGGGCTGTCTCGACCAAGGACGCCGAGTGCCGCCTCGTCCACCATGCGCTGGACCAATGCGACTTTGTGCGCGCAAACTGCCCCGATGAGGAGGCTGGCGTCATGTCCTACCTCGCCCTCTACTACTGCCGCCTCCCGCACGCGAAGCCCGTCGCTTTTGTCCTGCTGACGCTCTGGCTCGCCCTCCTCTTCAGCACCATTGGCATTGCCGCAAGCGACTTCTTCTGCATCAACCTCAACACCATAGCGCGCATGCTGGGCATGAGCGAGAGCCTGGCCGGCGTGACCCTGCTCGCCTTTGGCAACGGCAGCCCCGATGTCTTCTCCACCTTTGCCGCCTTCCGCACCCACGCTGCCAGTCTGGCTGTCGGCGAGCTTATCGGTGCTGCCTGCTTCATCACCGCTGTCGTCTCGGGCTCCATGGCCCTGATCCGCCCCTTCCAGGTTGCGCGCAAAAGCTTTGTCCGTGACGTCGGCTTCTTTCTTGTTGCTGCTGCCTTTAGCATGGGCTTCATTGTCGACGGCAAACTCCACCTGTGGGAGTCCGTTAGCATGGTGGCCTTCTACATCTTCTACGTCGCCTTTGTTGTGGCCTGGCACTGGTGGCTCAACCTACGAAAAGCCCGACGCGCGCGAGCAGCCGCTGTTAGGAGCCACTACGTAACACCCGGCGGTGAAGAGGAGGAGTTTCCAGAGTACCACGACGACGAAATCAGCGCTGCTTCTGCGACCCCTGCGTACGGCGCCTCCGCTGACGACTTTTCCATGCTCGAACGCGCAGGAGGCGACAATACGATACATGACGATGACAACGAGGAGGAACGTGAGCGCTGGATGGGCGAGTTGACCAACAATATGCGCGTCAACCGCCCAAGCGTGTCGCGGCGCAACACCCATACCCCGATCCGACCCAGTTTAGTAGGAGCTTTGGAGTTCCGAGCCGTACTTTCCTCGCTGCAAAAGTCGCGCAATATCCAGTCTATGCCAATCAGCCTGCGACGGTATTCCGACGACCCTACCTACACTACTGCCCAGCAGCAATCCTACATCGGACAGACTACAGGTCCAGCGACTCGGCCTCCATTTGACCTGCCTTCTTCCGCCTCCAACATCTCCACCTCACCCCACCTGAGCCGACCGAATCTCGAGATCCAGCAGAGTCTAGGCAACCGAGCGCGAGCTGTCTCCACCAATGACATTGACAATGTTCAACTACAGCCAAGCACCCTACAAGGACAATGCGTGCCTGACATAACATTTGCGTCTGCCACTCCCAGCGAGCGCAACGGATTGTTGGAAGCGCCGCCCTCACCAACTATCTCGTTATCTTCGCCAGTCTCCCGCTCTTCTAGAGCCCCGAGTCCTACGGCACCGAGAGATAGGCTGCTTTCACCCAACAATTTGGCGCCTCCAGGTGCCGAGGATGGAGCGCCTCTTCGTGTAGTCCTGCCTTCGCTGAATCTACGATCAAGCCCGGCATCAAACTCCGGCCATAGCCGCGAACAGCCTAGTCTGAAGCTGGCCGTACCAGATGCGACTTCCCCACCCATACCATTCCCGCCTTACACCGATTACCCTTGGTCAGCACAGTCCACTTCCAGACCTCAGAGTCTACGTCCGCCTTCGCCAAGTGTGTCACTCGAATCTACCTACTTCCCACGAGATTCCTTTGGGCAGCTCGAACCAACAAAAGTTCCCACGTGGTGGCCCTCGGCACTCCTACCGACCCCGCATAGTCTGGTTGCTACCCTCTTTCCCACTTTGACCAACTGGCGTGACAAGAACGTTTTCGATAAGCTTTTGGGGCTAGTCGCAAGTCTGCCTGTATTCCTGCTTACTATAACGCTTCCGGTGGTCGAGCCGCAAAAAGACGAGAATGACGGAGGCCATGCCCAGCTTTCCCTGGATCTCGGTATGCCACACGCAGCTACACCAGGTGATGCAAGCATGAGATCGCAAACTCCCAGTGTATCCCTTGTCTTGCCACGAGACGACCCCACCAGTTCGCGCCTGTCGAACTCGAAATCTTCTACGAGCCTTCCTCGACAGCTGGACGGTGGATCCTTCAGCACCACCACCAGCCAACCACCGCAAGTGTACATAACAAGTTCCGACAACGTAGCGCAATCGCCCGAGCAGCTCCCGGCAACCTCAACATCCATCGGGCCAGCGCAATGGAACCGCTGGCTGGTGATCGTCCAGATCTTTACGGCGCCCTTTTTCTTGGTACTAGTCTTCTGGGTAAATGTCGAACCCGACAACCCAGTTGTGTTGCTTCGCCACTCGCTTTACAGTATGCTTGTCTCCCTCTGTCTTCTTATCTTCCTCCTCTTGACCACTGCCTCGAATCAACCACCCAATTGGCGGCCCGCGTTGTGCTTTCTTGGATTTGCCGTTGCCATTGCATGGATTAGCACTATTGCCAACGAAGTTGTCGGTGTTTTGCGTACCTTGGGCGTTATTCTCAACATGTCCGACGCGATTCTCGGCTTGACCATCTTCGCAGTTGGCAATTCGCTTGGTGATCTTGTCGCCGACATCACCGTTGCGCGGCTCGGGTTTCCTATCATGGCACTTTCAGCCTGCTTCGGTGGCCCAATGCTTAATATCCTGCTCGGCGTAGGCCTCAGTGGATGTTACATGATCATCACCAAGGGCGAGCACCGCCATGAGAAGCACCCAGACCAGTCGGTTCATTTCAGACCTTACCACATTGCCGTGAGTACCACCTTGGTCATTTCCGGAGGCACTCTGCTCGTGACGCTAGCTGGACTTCTCCTTGCAGTGCCTTTGCGCAAGTGGCGAATGGACAAGAGAATTGGGTGGAGTCTAGTCGCGTTGTGGTTGGTTAGCACCACTCTTAATGTAGCTGTAGAAGTTCTAGGTTATAGCAGCAATGTTAGCTAAACATTGTTTTTTCTTATATACAACCCACAGCAGCTATACACTATATCGACTGTGATTTCTTGGGTAGAAAGACTTGTTGGAAGATGGACGCAGGCGTCTAGTCCAAGTTCCGCCAAGCTTACATGTGTCTATCATGATTATGCACTTCTAGCCTGCCTTGTTCGGATCGATACCTGTGTTCGGGCTCGCCAACACTTGTTCCAGGTGCGTCAGAAATGACGTCGTGGCTGCATACTCTTGCCGTCTCATTTTCCCCACCATGAAAACTGATACATACATGTCCACTTTGCCTACATTCACATTCGGAATCCTGTTACCTGCACACGCAATCGTCGTTTCGCCCATCGCGTACGTTAAATATGGGCTGTCGTCAGTCATCGCTTCGCGTATCCAGCGACGAAAACAAGGGTAACCGTAACAATACCAACTGTACAGGTTGCGAGGATTGTAGGTTTGAAACCATGTCTCGAGAAGAACAACACTGACTTTTCCCCCTCACATTCAGGCCAGAACTGCACGGATTGCAAAGGTCAGGCTACTTTTGCATTCGTACACTCGCCACTCTTGGAAGTTTTGACAGACTTCGAGCATCTGCTAACCAGAATATAGACTGCACGGGGTGTCGAAATTGCACCGACTGCAATGATAGTAGCAGCTGCCACAACTGTACCGGATGTGATAACTGTGAAGACTGCAGCAATTGTGTAGATTGCAACGACTGCACAAAGTAAGTGGCGCATTCTGCGTATGAAGCAATGCGATAGACGGAAAGACTGACGGCGATAGTTGCTCCAACTGTACCGATTGCACGGGTCTCAAGGACGCACACAATGAAACAGGCGTACACAAGTAATTTGGAAGTGATGATAAACTTTGTAAGCGGACGTCTGGGGCCAGTAGTCTTGTACATGTCTTGCGAGTGATGGCAATAAACCTCATCTTTACAGTGTCCCAAGACCAACACTTGGACTAAACCGGCATGCACTTTATTCAACCCACGTCTTTTGCTTCCGCAACTCCTTGCATATGGCAAAAGATTGGGACTCAACTTCAATCCAGAATAAGTTTGAGTGTATAATTTGGAGCGCTGCTACTTCCAATTTCACGACTAGCATTGTGAGAAGGCTCCAAAGTGTTTGCTAACGTTGCGCATGCACTAATGCATCACACTGTTCTGTAACAGCAACACATCACCAACAGTATTAAATTGCCTCGCCGAAGTTCTCTTGTTCAAGCCTGCAGTACTACTACCTACAAGACCGTCGAAAAAAATGAAGTCATTCAAGGACTTGATCTCAAAACGAGGCCAGAAAAAGACGGCAAGTCTACCAGGTGATGATCTTGTGCCGCACCTTGTGCGAAAATACGGCCATGGTCGGAAGGGTAATCAAGCCTCAAAGCCGCTGCCATACAAGATACTGATCGAGAAATTTGACCGTTCAGATGTGCCGAATATTGTGCTTTGGCCGCCGACACCTCCGCCGAATGGGATGAAAATAGAAGATCTTCTGTTCGAACGGTCAGGGTCTTTCTTTGTCCTGCGCGAGAAAACAGAAAAGATAGAAGCTCGAAGTACACGCGCAGTCATTGGGCGCCTCCAGGTACCTGCCCGGCACAAGACAGAAACCTGCAACTACAAAGACGTGCGGGCATCTAGACAAGACGAGAACGCTCTGGACGAAATAGGAACCCAGAACGCACATTTAGATGATATGTGTCGAGCCGATTACTGTGCCTTCGTGGCAGGATTAGATAAGATTCTCTAGGATGTAGTGCAGAACGCTTAGCTTGTTACATGTCATTTTTACCTGATACGGAACTGCATACCACTAAAAAAGTCCGACATAGTTCGAAACAAGAACTGTCCCCTTCGACTTCACAGTCTTTGCGTAGTTTAAAAGCATGTAGCAGTGACTGCCCTCCACCGTCTACGTATGTACTGTTTGTTCTTGATTGTCTGCGCTTCCCGACAAGAACTCCCTTCCCAGTGGCTTGATGAAACCAGAAGGGCTAATTGACCCCAGTCGTAGAAAAATTGTCAAACTAGACGCAGCACAGAACTACGCATCGTATAGAACAAGAAGAGATGTACAATGTGGGTATCCTATGAAAGAGGGAGGAAGCTATGTATATATACTATTGAGGCGACGCTATTGAGTGAATCAAATGACAGGGTCTTAACCAACACATTGCGAACACAGTGACGCGTAGAGAGCTGAGTCCATGTGCTCTACAGCGAAACTAATGCCTACGGAAATAACGAAGCAAGCTCTGATAACCCTACATAAGTCTGTCTAGGCGTTTTGAATCTTTGTATGTTTCAAAATCTTCGCGGTAGTGCGCCTTAATAAGCTTGTGTCCTTTCGGTAGATACAGCTCTATCCCGCTCGCCGCACTAGTTATTGTTAGTACGACGTAACAAAGCTCTCTAACATGCAACTATAAAGCTTCCTTTGATAATGGCAATGCTAGATGGCATTGTAAGCGTCTTAAGTAACTGCTTATTATACCTCTTAAAGATGATAATGGAGTAGTGTCGAAAAGCACGACTTAATAGGAGAAGCTGCAAAGAGACTCTACAAAACCTTGAAAAAAAGAACAACTGTAGTATGTGTGGAGTAGAAAACAAGCACACTTCGAAGAGTCACGGCGCCGGAATAGCATGGGGTAGTAGGAGCTAGGGCGATGCAATGTCTTTGATGATATACACCTGCTAACATCTGCGAAGACGTAGTTATAGCTGCGGTATCTATCTGACGTCATTGCATGTATGAAGATCAGAAGTCTCCGCCAAGGTCAAACGCCCAGAAGTCAGGAAATGACCAGCCGCTCATATCTGACTGTATGTCCTGTAGTGAATCGAATGGTCCATACGTTTCTTTCGTACTATTACTTGTGTTGGCTTCTACGCAAACCCCATCTGGTGACGTGGTAGGTGCACTCTCAGCGGTCATTGACGTCGAGACAATCTCTTCCCTAGTACTCATGGTACTGCGAAGGGAAGACGCCAAGCGACTCAGGGGATCTTTTTGTAGAGCTAGTACTCTGAAAGCCAACGAGGTAAACCAGTCGAGCGTTTTGTGACATCTTGAAAGTACGTCATCGTGGATGTTGTTGATGTAGGCTATGGATGTAGCAGGTGATGGAGGAGGTAGCATGCCTACTGCAGCAGACATGCTGTGCATACGAGAACCAAAATCAGCGAATTCTTGCTGTGAATTGTTGACACATAACTTACAGCCAGCATTCCATGTATCCTGTACCAAGCCGGAAGACCTTAATCTCAAATATCTGTCTCGTTCGCTCTAGGATGTCCATCGAAGATATACATAGTGTTCTTGCAAGGAACGACTCCTGCGGTAGTGCCGTGAGATACAGGTCTAGACATGTATCGGAGGCTGCCAAGCGCCGTGGCCTACTCAGGTCTGCAAAATGAGTGTGATGGTCTGCACTGTGATTCGTAGAATCAGTTGCAGGGGTACGGGACGATTTTACTTTTCGAAGAGTGCAGTTGTGGTAGACAATCTGCGAAAGTGTCAGACCAGCTCTGATGACGTCGTTGCGGAAGTTGTTCAGCGCTAGAACGCCTCTTGATAGCAGGCGATCGTGCGTGGTGACCAAAGAGCTGCACGTTTCTACACAAGTTGTGAACGAGTATAAGTAGCGATTGTCTGTGCAGGCTAGTCTTGCGTAGGCCTTGTGCACCAATAAGAGATACTGTCGCAACTGCAACTGGAGGAGTGCGGAAGGTACGAGTGCGCGATCATCGTTCCAGACGGGTAGTGCGGCCAATGCAGAGCGGATCCGTGCATCGTAGTGCAGCACGTCGTCGTAATCGAGAGCACTGGAAGGGGTGTTTAACACTTGCGTCAAATGGATACGGAGTGGAAGTGACTTTGTAGTTGCGATGAGGTACGAAGCTGATGTGAAGTTCTCGTCGGACTGCACGGTGTCAGTCTCACAGGGAACGCTTTCTTCCGAGGTTCGTTTCTACGTACCGCCGGCATGTGCTGCATATCTGGCGAAAAGGATTCATCGCCAAGATTATCAGGGATAGGCGAGTCCCAGTATAGTCCGGAGAGCGAAGATTGAATGCCACTCTCAACGGAAGACTGGAGCTCCAGCTCCATGACGGTAATCCACAGACGCTTCCTCATTTGCTCATCGAAAGCTGTCATCGTACCATGTCCGAGCAGAGAGGGATCACGGTGTAGACCAGATGCAAGGGAGAGTCGCAGTAGGTCACCCGATGCGACCCAGTCTTGCTTCAGGCGCACGCAATTAACACGCTTCGCGAGTAACGACAGGCACTGTAGCTGGAACAAAGCTAAAGTAACCCGCTTGCGCGGCTGATCAGCGATCCAGCTGTCGCATAAATTAATAAGCTCGTGAGCCGCTTGCCTGTCGGCAGTCGTGTCACCAACAAACACATCATCTTTCGGGTTAAGGCACTTCGTGGCTGCGACGAGCAAGACGAGCAAGACGGCGAAGCTCACCGGTCCCTTTCCGTCCCGATCTGATTCCCAGTAATTTCGATAATCCTCCCAGAACGACGGCCCGTGCAGGATTTTATAACTTGTTTCCCACGTCTGGAAGTAGAGAGCCGCCTGCGTATCAACTATGCTCTTTTCCGGAAGGATAGCGAGTATTTCAGAGTCGATGTCAGAGCATCTAGTGGCCTGCCTCTTCGCAGACTTCTTCCTCTGATCGCGAAAGGCTTTGAAGTCGGTTTTGACACGCATGATGGAGTGATCGACGGTCAAAGCCTCTCGCGTAAAAGCTTGTAGCTCGTGATACTTAGTGGTGGTCAGTTTCTATCACGTTGACGTCAGGCTTGGGACTGTACCGTGGAGATCATGCTCATGATACTCGTTGCGCCGTTGAACTGGGATCTGAAACCCTTTCCTCTGAACATGATTTCCTCTGTGATCTTGGGTTCATGGGGCACAAACTCCCCATATTGCGGGGGATTACCACCGCCATTTCGATTGATGAGTTTCTGTTCCAGAATGGCAATTCGTCTCTCTTGTGTTTTGAGTTTTCGTTGTAATGCATTCGATGCGTCCGAGGAGGGCTCGCTCTCGACTGGCAGCTCTGTAAGCGCAAGAGACGCAGCGCCCCTGTCACGGTGGGACTCTTGAAGTAGCCGGGGGTCATATGTACACTCGTGACCTCTGTCGTTTTTCTGACATCGGCCACATACTGGAAAGACGCGATCACACTTCATCTTGCGGTTGCGACAAGCGTAGCACGACAACACTTTGCGCTTCTTGCTCGTGCGTCGCTGCGACAAGCCATCGTGACCTTCTGGGGATTCCTCGCGAGACCTGTCGCTAATCCACTCGGCGCCGGGAGCGGACATGGCATATGACGGATGGCAACTAGGGACTGCGATGCGCGTTGACAATGGCGGAACAGCTGGAGGTCGGACAAGGCGGAGATCAGGTGGAGATGAGGCAATAGGTTGGAGCGCACAGACTCGGATATAAGACGGAGATGCAACAGACCCAGTTAACCATTGCGTCCCCAGGTACGCTCAGGCCGCCATACCTAGGTACCTCCAGCTAGGTAGCATTCACTCATCCTCCCGATGGTGTAGCGTCACCAGTGCTGACGATTAATAAATGGAATCGCCGGCATTTCGACGCACTCATCGGGTCCCGTGCATACCTAGGTAGGGTCCTCCTTGTGCCAATGCGGGGAATGCTGGTCATGTCTCATTACCGGTCTCGTGGTATCAATAGTATCGTCAATCTACCCCTCTTCGGTACTTGTCTTTCATATAATTGATGATCAGCTTGGCTTGCCTTCATGTCTTCTTCGGCATTTGAACTCTCCGCTGTGCAGTGACAGCATGACCCATCGAAGACCTAAGACGCATTCTACTCGTAGTTTAACAGGGTGTTACGGGACCGGGTCTGAGGCGCCGAGGCGCATGCATCTATGCAGGAGCTGCTCTTGACTTTGGATTGAAATACCCAGTTAATAGTGCTCAGCGCCCAGCTCATGGCAGTGAGCTTCAAGATGCTTGGTATGCTTAGCCAGGTAGACAGCCGAACAAGAGGGTTGTTGCATCATATCGACTGTCCGAGTGACCCTCTGGCTCCGATGACGATGTCTAATTATTCCTACATTGCGTGGAGATTGCCCTATAGACCTACGGGTGTCCGCGTCGCACTAAGCAGTCAATTCATCTCATACGCTGTCCGCGTCTGTGGTCGGACATGTTCTAGTCTCCAGTGAGATGAATCTCGACATGGCATGTAGGGGCCGCGCATTATCGGTATGCGAGAAAAGGCTTTGAACGCCAATTGCAGCAGTTGGGGCGTGGTTTAGCATTTATTGACACATTGATTGAAAGATGGAACATAGAGTACATACGCCCAAGGGTAATTAGAAGGCTCCACGAAAAGGGACATAAGAGACGCCTGCCGATGCACTTGCCATGATCTTGATTCAACCCTTTGTCAGTCTTTGCCCACGATATTACTGAAACCCCAAAGCCTGTACTGCTCACCATCTGGGCATGTATCACTACTTCGTCATTGCCGCGTGGTTTTACCACGTCGTTCACGCACAGCTTGTTGGTACTCAGCAAACCGAAACCCATCCAGGAATGACATGGCAGTCTTGCACCGCCAAGGGTAGCTGCACAACCAAGAACGGTAAAATTGTCATCGACGCCAATTGGCGATGGCTTCATGTCAAAGGAGGGTAATGGCATAGGCACAATCTGTTGGGTTGACTCAGCTGCTAACACAAGACTAGCTATGACAACTGTTACACAGGTAACGAGTGGAACGCAACTGCCTGCCCAGACAATAAGGCATGTGCGGCCAACTGTGCCGTTGACGGCGCAGACTACAGTGGCACATACGGCATCACCGCGGGCAGTAACTCCCTGAAGTTGAAGTTCATCACGAAGGGTTCCTACTCCACAAACATCGGTTCTCGGACGTATCTCATGAAGGATGATACGACTTACGAGGTAAGTAACGTTCTCGTAGGTACAAACAGTGACTCAACTGATCCGTGGATTTGAACAGATGTTTAAGTTTACCGGCAACCAAGAGTTCACGTTCGATGTGGACGTGTCGAACCTGCCATGCGGATTCAATGGCGCTTTGTACTTTGTTTCAATGGATGCAGATGGCGGATTGAAGAAATTCTCGACGAACAAGGCTGGCGCCAAATACGGCACAGGGTATTGCGACGCACAGTGCCCACGGGATTTGAAGTTCATCAACGGCGAGGTAAGTCACGCTCGGTTCCAAGAATTGGTTTTCAGCTACTCAGAATGCTGCAGGGAAATGTCGAAGGTTGGCAGCCATCCTCCAACGATGCGAATGCAGGGGTTGGGGGCCATGGTTCGTGCTGCGCAGAGATGGACATCTGGGAAGCGAACGCTGTCAGCACAGCCGTCACCCCACACTCGTGCTCCACAATCGAGCAGTCTCGTTGTGACGGCGACGGTTGCGGAGGTACCTATTCGGCCGACCGTTATGCCGGGGTTTGCGATCCTGACGGCTGTGACTTCAACAGCTACCGCATGGGTGTCAAAGACTTCTATGGCAAGGGCAAGACGGTAGACACTTCAAAGAAGTTCACCGTGGTCACACAATTTGTCGGCACCGGGGACGCTATGGAGATCAAGCGTTTCTATGTCCAGAACGGCAAGACTATTGCGCAGCCTGCATCTACTGTTCCTGGCGTAGACGGGAACTCCATCACAACAAAGTTTTGCGACGAACAGAAAGCTGCATTCCACGATACGTACACGTTCAAAGACAAGGGCGGTATGGCGAACATGGCAAAGGCTCTCGCAAACGGCATGGTCCTCGTCATGAGCCTGTGGGATGACCATTACAGCAACATGCTTTGGCTTGACTCTACGTATCCCACAGACAAGAACCCAGACACGGATCTAGGTACCGGCAGGGGAGAATGCGAGACGACGAGCGGTGTGCCGGCAGACATTGAAAGCCAACATGCTGATGCCACTGTTGTCTACAGCAACATCAAGTTCGGGCCACTGAACTCGACCTTCGGTTGAGGGAGTGTAGTGGAGGGAGGGAGCTGCAGCGGAAAAGATGACCTCCAGTTCCCGAGGTCGGGAGAACGGGGGACATGAGAGCGTGGTCTAATACACATGGTTTGTCGCGTACTGAAGCGATAGTTGATCGCTTGGCAGAAGAATTCAAGGCGCGTCTGCATGCAGCTTGCAATGTGGAGCAAATTCTTCTGTGCACCCCGGCCCCCTTTGATATTTGATTGAGTGATGACAAATCACGCGACAAGGCCCAAGCGTCATGAGCGCGTGTCAAAGACGCGCGCTTCTCGTCTACTCTCAGCTGGGCATGGGCGACTTCGTCCAAATGTGAGCGCGCTTTGTCCGACCGCTGAACAATAACACTTACGTGGGTTGCGTCGCGCAGCCGTGCGTAGGTATTCTTCTTGCGTGTTGGCGTTGCCAAAAAACGAAACATGGACCACAGCGTGCGTGGCAACCTACAATCTTAACGACACCAAGCATGGCTCAGCAAACCTTCCCAACGTCGCCATACTCGGTATCCATGATTTACGTGGGATCAATGGCCCCGGAGGCGCAACTGAAATATCGCCAACGACACACAACGCCAAACCTTGCCTTAGACATGAACATCTCCAAGACACCGAGGCTGTGCCGCGAAAGACACTCGACACGCTCAATGTTTGTCTCTAGGTGCGCATTCAGGCTGTATGCAACACTACACTCGATGTAGTTGCTCAGATAGGGTCATAAGGGGATTGAATCGGAAAATGACACGGATTACGCGAAGAGCTGATCCACCGCTGCAACTGTTTCTCTGCCCTTCCTCGCCCTAAAACCCTTCTCATACCACCGGGTACTTTATCTTCTTCCAAATCAGCCAGGGGCGCTCATGTATCGATCAGAGTAGTTCTGAGGAGGGAAGAGAGCCTCTTTCAGATCCTCGACATCCACTCCTTTGTTGCCAAGGTTGCCTGCCGCGAGTGCAGCATCCACGATCAGGTCCCAGTCATCGTGATCTTCTGTGGATGATTACTAACAGTCTTGACGTATGAGCACAAGAGCCACGTTTGGAACACGTACCAAATATCACCACCAAGCAGTCCTGCTTGTTCCTATGGCTACAAACCGTCTTCCCACCAGGGATGACACGCATGTGTTGTCGGCAATAGTAGAAGTGGTTGGCACGAAAGCAGGGTATATGGAAAGAGTCTTGAGAGCATTTGACATCGCTGGTCCGCCCTTCTGGAACAACGAATCCACTGATATGCATTAGCCACCATCATTCATTCATGAGCGCTCGCTCAGAGAGCATCTCACCAAGATCTCAAGGTGCCCTCACGTTTGTGGCGGCGGTGCTCGGACATGATATTCTCCATGACCATAGGAAGATAAGCTGCGTTGTCTTTACTACCAATGACTGGCTGCTGAGGGCGGACTGGGTTCAATGGGGGAGCAGCTTTTTGTGCGCGTGGTGTAGCATTCGCATCCACCGATGGAACAGGGGATGGGCGACTAGGATAGCTGTTGTATCTAGAAGAAGCCTCCCCTGATGATAAGAAGCGGGTACGATCATACCTGTCGTTACTCGTGGCGCCACCGGTATGTGCTCGTGGAGGTGTTGTGATGCGACCAGTACCGATAAGAGACTCCGAGAGAGGGAGAGGATTATCCAGGTTGGCAGTCGAACTCGAGTAACCACTGTGACTACTGCCAGGCGGTCCAGGAAAGCGGTTCGTAGCAATTTGGAGCTGATGTAGGAGTTGTCGATGGCGGTTCTCAGCTTGTTGCAGACGCTGGCTTAGCCCGACAATGTGGCCATCGTGTTCTTCGCGGATGCTCTGGATTTCGTCGCCGAGTGCCTGGAGCTGTGCTTGTATTTGGCGAGGGTGCGGTAGCCGCGAGTCCATCTCGTAGGCAGGACGCGCGAGTTGAGCGAGGAAGTGGCTAAAGACGGCTGTAAAGGCTCTACGAGCTGAGTCGACGGTTCAAGGAGCGGGATAGATGAGAGCTTTACTTCAGAGGCCACATCCAGAGGTGGGAAATGTCTTGGCCAGGGAAAGTATACGTCATCTATGAGCGGTACTGCTGCTAAAACGAGACAGGCCCGGATTCAATTTCATTACGGTCAAGCATTGATACTATCAGATTAGGGTCGTACGTGATTGGAGTACTGGAAGATCTATACTCAAATGCGAAATTGTTTCCCATTTCCTAGCTACTTATGCTGGTGTAGTTGATCTTGTCTTCGTCGCTGCTTTGGGGGTACCCAGATGGAATTCGCCGCGTTATCATATCGCTTTTCCTATCTGACAACACCGGCAGAGACATTATCCAAATAGCATAGTGACAAAGCGTGCTCTTGGTAGCTACATGAATCTTGCAGTGTCTATCTAGTACAGAATGTGGTGGTGTACATGACTACCTGGGTATGATATAAGACGCAATAAAGGCGGAGGAGCCATCAGGAAACTATGGGGCAACTATCGTATACCATACTCGGCTAGAAGGCTAGTATAGTCGCCCTCCCAGGGCTCACTGCCAGACTCTTGTGTTTCCTCGTTGTGCGCGTCTTCTCTTATGGTCATTGTCACAGTCTCTCCACCGCTCTTCACTGAGACTGAGTCATGCTCAAAGTACTGTTGAGATGAATCCCGCCGCGGCCTATTCTGGAGGTAGCGTAGTGAGCGTTTGCAACGATTCCAAATGCTTGCTTGGTCTTCAAGACGGCCGCAAGTGACATACTGGCTAGCGTTAGAGAAACAAATGTTCTAGACTCTATCAAAACACTCAGGACATACCTCAATATTCCCGTCCCAAATTCTGCGAACAACAACAGCGCTTTCCTTCGCTGCTTCTTCGGCCCTGAAAGTCTCTAGTACCGACAGGTGGCGCTTTTGCCATGGTGCCCGCCATTTGATATGACGCCAGTGCATGGTCTAGGAAGCAGTATAGACATCAAGTTGCGATCGAATCTGAGTTCACTCTTCTTGAGGCGAAGGGAAGCTTTCGCATTCGGTGGATGAATTCCAAATTCCACACTGGGACTATGTTGATTGGGCTTCTACAGACTATACTGGATATAGCAGCACGGGTGTCGAGTCCTTTTCGCTAGTGCTAGTGACTACCTAGGTAAACAACACGGACCACAATCTGAATATCATTAACAAATTGTAGTGACAATGAAATCCATCGATATTTTCTCGTGCAACTAGATCGATCATATCGTCTCTCCCAAAGCAGAACACATATTGAATGTTCGATGAATGGCGCTACACCTTCACTGGAGCTTTGTGTTTGTCACCACGAACAGTCACAGGCTTGGCTGCTTCCTCTTAGCGAGTTGAGAGCGTGTTTCTAGTGTGTTCGCTTCCCCTTTCGCTTCTGCTCCAGCTCCTTACCATCAAATTGAAGTCGAAATACGCGTTACAATCACTCTCCGCCATCAGCAACCAGGAAAGCATGTCGGCCCCCCCTCGCATAAATTCTACTTCCCCATCAGCGTCCTCACCGACAATTCCGCGACTGGTGGAAAACCGCAACTATACGCGTTTTGCAGACGTCGGCTTTGGCAACCGGCTGGCCGACGCGCGCAACCTCGTACACACGCGGAGGCCCCCCCTTTCTCTTCGTCCAGAACATACAACCGCTGTAGGTTCGGTTGCATCTGAAGTCGCCAACTCGATTCGGCGGGCTGCCTTGATCCCGCCCGGTGCGCCAAAGCATGGATGGGAGAAGGGATCATACCGGTCACCCTTCGACTATCACATCCCTGGCCATACCGTAGGTGGCAGAGACACGCCTCCTGGTAGATCAAATTCGCATGCTTCTTTTGTGGGGCTGTCTTCGTCTTCGCCTCTTCACAGCATAACGCCACTCTACACTTCGACGCCTCTTGCGACGCCTGCATACGAGATGAAGCCCAGACCTGAATCCAATTCACTGTGCCGTACGGTTACACCTGGTCCTGATGTAAGCTTCAATGTCCTTTTCTTGCTTGAGTTGCGCGACTGACTGCTTCCAAGGCAAGGGAACGTCTTGTTCTCATTGCCCCCCTCCGCATGATTCGCGGAGCAGGGGTCCACCTTTGTGAGGATGACCGGGAAAAACTGTATCGTTTCATCGACGGTTACATGGCCGACTCGTTACACACTGTTGTCGAACGCGATGGCATCCTTCCCAATGTCATTTACAAGGTCAGCATTCCCATGACAGACGCCGCTTGGGTCAGCTACAACCAAGTTCTCGCTACATTCGGGTTCGCCAATGGTGTGAATGACATGCTCATTGCGGGCTCCGACAATTTCGACAAGTACACATACATGATCGATGATGTGAGCGCAGAACACGAGCAAGGCTGGAAGGTACTAGCGAGTTCAAGTGAGAGGAACCTCGACATGACAAGACTTTCGCAAGAGCTGGTGCAGATCTGGAAGAATACATGGATCGAGAATGGATCTGGCTATGTCGGTGTGGCCAAGGATATTGTGCAATAACGTAAGCAAAGGTTGTGACAAAAGTAGCAGGATGGATCTACCGGGAAACGCTAGCTGGAAAGCTCCCTGGCGCCTGTGGAAGATTGCTTGATGTTCAACGATCTGATACAAAGTCTTTACGGTATTCTTACACGGGTTTGCTCGAGTGTGAAATTGAGGCGTCTGATTTGAAAACACACAATCTCCTATTTAGAAGATGTGCCGTTATCTTACATGAGAGCGCAACGTGCTGGACATTCTGGAATGCATTGTACTGAGACAGTCCAAATGTATGGAATATGTCGAAGTCGTTGGCCCTTCGCAATTATCCGATCATCAAAGGTACTTGCGAATGACTCAAATCAGGGACGTGAACGATGGTCGTCTGTTGACGTTCAATCTCTGATGTCTTGTAGAGTATCCAGGTACCTAGGTTCCCTGAAGATGCATGATCAGTAAACTTAACACAACGCTACATCATTGCTGAGGTTGCTGGGCCGTATCTGATATACGTGGAATCGCGCCCAGAAGGATGTGGTCGTGGCGCTGGCAAGCTTTCGCAAAAGGAAGCAGCGGGTCAAACTGCGGGCGAGAAGCATGAGCAAGCCCGAAGACGCTGTCGTGGGTGCGCTGCGTACGCTGCCTGCGCAGGTGCAACGTTGGTACGAGTGCAGCAAACATCTTGTCCAATTCAGAACTAGCAACGTGCCTTTTTCGACCGGCGCAAACTACCTCGGTACTGTTGCCAGGCATTCCAAGTTATACGTTGAGCATACACTCGTTAGCCCATATGTCCCATTGCTTCCAAGGTTCGGTCGCAGTATTGTGCCGACTGGATGCGGCATGCTTTCCCCTTCCAGTAGTATCTGCGCTTCGGAGGGCGGCCTGTTCCATTGCTACCTAGGCCAGTGTGTATCCATGTTGAAAGAGCCACGGACATCGGGTGATTGCCAATCCAGGCGATACATACCTAGGCAGCGTCGTGTGCAGAGTTTGCAGTATAGTACGTGCAGTACACGGGTAACGTTCGATCAAGCATAGTTTCCGGGACTAAAGCTTCCCCACAACTCGTCTATTACCCTTGTCCCGGTAGTCATACGCCACCAGAATTATTGAAACAGTCATGTCTGCTCGTGACACTATGTAGCGCAGTGCCCCTTTTCCGTCAATGAGCGACGAGCCTTTCGCGGTCGACCCAGTCGACAGATTGTCAGGAACTTACGGGAGAATCTGCTGATGCGCCTATAAATTCCAGGCACTCTGCATAGACAATTGCTCTGGCTGGCATCTGAGACTTAATCTTACAATACCGCCATGCGACTTCTCAGACTCGTAGGCTTTGGCCTGTCCGGCTTGATCGTAGATGCGACGCTCCAGATTGTACCTGGCGCGACTTGGACAGCAGTGCGTTTCGTCGTACCCATGAGCAGATGGCAACTGACATTACACCAGACCAACACAGGCCAGCACATTCAGGCTCACGGCGCCGGCATCATCAAAGATGGCGAAAAGTGGTATTGGTAAATAGCTCTACGCGCAAGGGCGGCCTCTACCGGTGCTGATGCGCCCGCAGGATTGGCGAAGATAAAACAAACGGAACCGCTTTCACAAACATCAACTGCTATTCGTCTACCAACCTTGTCGAATGGTCTTATGAAGGCGCTCTAATCTCGCGGACTGCATCTGGCGACACAGGGCCCGATCGTGTTATTGAGAGACCAAAAGTTATGCACAACAAGCGAACGGGTAAGTATGTCCTGTGGGCTCACATTGACAGCGCCGACTATGGTGAGGCGAAGATTGGTGTCGCAATAGGCGACAGCGTTTGCGGAAAGTATTCGTATCTACGCAGCGAGCGACCACTGGGCTTCGAGAGTAGAGATTCTGGCGTGTTTGTCGATGACGACGGCAAGGGCTATCTACTGACCGAAGACGTATGACTGCCTCGTAGCACAGTAGGGACCTGTTTCTGACGAAGCCAGCGACGCAACGGCCTACGCATCAACGCACTGTCTGATGATTATCTCAGCGTTTCCAGCAATGTCTACGTCTGGAAAGAAAAATACGAGTCTCCGGCCATGATCAAACACAAAGGCGTTTACTTCATGTTCGCCTCGCAGCTTACGGGGTGGAGCCCGAATGACAACTACTACAGCACGTCGACGTCTCTCTCGGGTCCATGGTCGTCATGGCAAAAGTTCGCCGACTCTGGGTCCAACACGTACGCTTCTCAAACAAGCTTTGTATTGTCTGTAGGGGATGGATACGTGTACATGGGGGACCGATGGCACAGTGAGAATCTGATGAGAAGCACATACGTATGGCTACCGGTTGAGATATCTGGAACGACGGCTAGCATGAAGAACGCTGTCAACTGGATCCTGGATCCCGATACTGGAGCCAGCAGGGCTGGGCCCAACGAAAACAGGTACGAAGGCGAGACGGCAGAGCTTGCTAACGGAGCCATATCTCAAGCATGCTCCTCGTGCTCGGGCTCGAAGGCAATTGGGTACATTGGCGGCGTGCCCTCGGGGTCCGCCACGTTTTCCAAGGTGGAATCTTCAGCAACGACGCGCACGACTGTAAGGATCAAGCATCTCAACGGCGACAAGCAGCAAAGGTATGCAGCCATCAGTGTGAATGGGAAATCGCAGAGGGCGGCGTTCTTGCCAGACGGGGGAGGAGGCCCGGCAAGTTCAGTGGTGCACGTCAACGTGGAGCAGGGCGTCAACGAAGTCAAGGTTGGCGGGGTGGATGAGGGCTGGGGGCCGGACATTGACAGGGTGTTTGTTCCCGTGGAGTGAGGATGGGCTGATGAAGACTAGCAATGTATGGTGTTCAGTCCATCGACTTGCTCATGATGGCGTATTCGGCGGGGATGACCCTGTTCCTCGTGGTCCTGTCGTCGGGGCTGCACTCGTCCCTGGTGTAGCCCAGGCTGTGGTACATGCTCTTTGCGCGCGTGTTTGCGGTGAAGACGGTCAGCATCGTCTTGGGGATGTGACATGCGCGCGCCACGCTCTCGACGAACTGGATGAGGCGGGACCCGAGGCCCTGTCCTCGCAGGCGCTCGTGGAGATGGATCTCGTAGATGTAGAGGACAGGGCGGTCGTGGTGCGGGGGGTCGTCGTGGGTGAACATGAAGGAGGTGAAGCCGAGGATGGCGTCGGGGCCGCCCTGGGCCGGGCGCAGCAGCAGATACATCATGTCGGCGTCGAGCATCTCGTCGCGCTTCCTGCGCGGGTCCCAGCCCATGGCCGAAGCCGCGTAGTCGTGGCCCGACGTGGCGTGGACGAGGCCGAGGCAGGCGTCGAGCTCGCCCGGGCGGAGGTCGAGGGCGGAGGGGACCCAGTGGATGGCGACGGGGCAGGGTCGCTGGGGCGCCTCGTAGGCACTGAGGGCGGCGTCCTGGCGCAGCAGCGTCTGCACCGTCTGCATGCGCGCGAGGGCCTGGGGCGAGTACATGGTGGTGAGGTGACGATTCCGCCGCCAGCCAGCCGCCAACCATCAACCGCCCACCGCCCACCGCCCACCGCCCACCGCCCACCGCCAACCGCCAACCGCCAACCTTGGGCACTGGGACGCGCCCTCGACACATCGCACCGCCATGCTGCGCGCCTACGCGACCGTCGCCTCCAAGCCGCCCTCCCGCCTGCGCGCACGAGGAAAAGCTCCCGTGGGCCTGGACCACGTACCTGTCCCACGACGCATCCGGCCCGGCGCCACGCCCGCTGACGGTCCTGCAGTTCATCCAGCGCCAGCGCGCCCTGGCCCTGTGGCGAGACATTGTCCGCAGCACCGCCAGCATCCCCGACGCAGGCGCACGACGAGACATGCGCCGCTTTGCACGCTCCGAGTTCGACCAACACCGCTCCGTCACTGACCTGGGCCACATTCGATATCTGATTTCAGTCCGCCGCCCCAGAACCCCCGCAGCGTGCCCTGGCCCTTTGCTAACGCCTACCCAGCATGGAAAGACACAGTTCCAGACCATCAAGGGCACCCTCATCAACGCTGGCCTACTCTCCGAATAGCCTCTGTTCAGACACTGCTGCCCCGAATTCCCAACCCCGTCCTGGCCATGGATGCCCCGGTCGAGCAACAGTCCGTCTGCGTCGTCGGCGCTGGGCCCGCAGGTCTGGCGGCTGCACACATCTGCAGACAGCACGGCTTCGCAGTCACCGTCTACGAGGCCGCAGACCGTGTAGGCGGCATGTGGAGACATGACCGCGGGGAATTTGGCGACAAGTGCAGTCCGGAGATGCGCGCCAACCTGAGCAGATACACTGTTGCCTTTTCTGATCTGGCTTGGACATCGGTACATGTAGATATCTCGAACCCTGCTGCCGATCCACTAGCTGTTCCGCCTGTCTTTCCCAAAGCGTGGCAGGTAGAATCCGTGTACAGCATGCTGTGAGACAGTCACTGACTTCGTACATCCATCTTTAGGCACGTGGGCCGCTATCTTGCGGCGTATTCAGAAACCCTTGGCTTAACTGACGACATACTCCTCGAGCACCGAGTTGTCAGCGCATCACTGCAAGAAGATCATACTTGGAGAGTGGTCAGTGCCGACGGCACCCGTCAGCTAACATGCCGTACCTTTGATCGACTCGTCGTCGCCAGCGGCTTCTTTAACAAGCCAGCCCACACCTTCAATCCCGTTCCCTCCCACCCTCTCTCAAACATCCAACACTCCTCACGATTTCGGACTCTCTCTGCCCTGACGGAAACCCCCGGCAAGATAGTCGTGATTGGAGGCGGCATCAGCGGCTCAGAGGCTGCTTCTCAGGCTGCTTCTCAGATCTCCAACGCAAAGCACTCGCCTGGTGGAATGACACCCTCCCACGCCGACAGCAGGGTTTTCCACGTCATCAATCGTCCCTTCTACTGCCTGCCCCGCTACCTTCCACAGGACCCTCAGACCCACGACGGGCATTTCAAGCCAGCACCTAGATTCCTTCCCCTTGATCTGATTCTCTACAATCTGTCCCGTCGCGGCCATGGAGACATCTCTGCAGCTATCACCACCGTTCCACCAGAAAAAGCAAAGAAAGGCCACGACTTCTTACGATCAAGTATAGGCTGCCATCACGCCGACGTCGGCTTCTCAGAGCTCGCGTACACGGCGACCCAGACACAACACCCTGGCTACACCGGTATAACCGACACGTATATGGAGTTTGTCAGAAGTGGCATCATTGTGCCAGTCCGGGGATGGGTTGAACACGTCGAGCAGGCAGCCAACGGTGCTTGCCTAGAGATTCGTCTTGGCCAATATGAGCCCTGGTTCCATGGGCCAGGCGCAAAAGCTATGGTACTCTGCTTACTCGAGAGTCTAGGCGCATCGAAAAGGCTAACACTTTACAGGGCGAGAGCAGACTGCGTGATGTGGTCGGTATCATTGAAGCCACAGGCTACAAAGCCGACCTCGATTGGCTCGACGCCCGTGTCCAATCCCTTCTCGCTGACGGCAGCGACAACCCGAATCCGCGCATACCATATCCCCTGTCACGTGGTTCCGTCTTTTCGCAGCAAATACCTACAATTGGGTTCGTGGGTTTCTACGAAGGCCCTTACTGGGGCGTGATGGAAATGCAGGCTCGACTTCTGGCGCAACGCTGGGCCAAACGAGAGCCTGAGCAGTCGGCGTCTCTCTCATCCGCCTTGTACACGTATGATGATACGAGGCATATGCAAAATGCCATGGGTCAGAGGTCCTTGCAAGTGCCGCAGTTCTGGATGGCCGATTACGTTGGACTAATGGAAGAGTTCGCACGAGAAACGGGCGTCTCACGTGACGACACCCTATTCGGTAGTCAATCGGGTCCCGCATTCCCATCGCGCTATCGACACACAGATAGCAGTCTGCAAGCCAAGGCAGTAGTCAGCGAAGTTGCCGGAATACTCGAGGCATCCCAGGAGCATGCTCGGTTTGTTGCAGCGGCCGTGTTCACAGGCATGCAAGGTGTCTGGAAGATGACGCGCAAGATTGATTCACGTACCCAGACACCCGGTGGCACATTCGTGGGTACAGCTCACTTCCATCCGCGTCAATCTACCGATACAGCGACCTACGCCTCCGAATACTTGTATATCGAACAAGGGACATTCACCATGGACGCTGGGCTGTCATTCCCTGCGACCCGTCGTTACGTCTATAGGTACAACGAAACAAGCGATGAGATCACCGCATGGTTTGTTGAAGACGACGAAAAAAGTGTCGGAAAGCTATTCAATACCTGGCGCTTCCACGCGCCTGATGACCAGGCTGGCGGCTGGATGGCTACGGGCTGCCATTGGTGCGATCCCGACACGTATCAGAATGACTGCGAATTCAAGTTTCGTGGTGCAAAGATCGATCGATTCATGATCAGATACAAGGTGGACGGACCAAAGAAAGATTATCTGCATGAGAGCTGGTATCAGAGACCAAAGGTAGATGGCGGAGCAAACGCATGCGGATGAGGGCGTTGTAAAGACAGCGCAACATTTGCAAAGGGCTATTCCATTGCGAATATATTGGGTGGGGTATCATATATAAATCGTCATATCGTACAGTTACACCTGGTCTTCAGGCCGGTCATGTGTTTAGTTGCTCAACACCTCCATCAGCGAGCGTACTGGGATGGGTAGGTGGCCCATCTCTCCCTATGCTCTCAAGGTCGGCCAGCAGCATCCTGAGATGATTCTCTCGGTTCTGGTTACTCCCCCAGGTGACCGCTTGCGAGTAGTACAGTATGTCCCACGCCTCGTCACCAATGTTTTGTAGGAACGTGGGCAACGATCGCGCTTTCTGGTACGAGCGCCAGAGTATTCGGCGGATGTCATCGTTTGCGCCGATATAGGCAAGCTCAATGGCTTTATTGAACGATTTCAGGGCGGGCGCAATGTTGAACGGTGGGGGGAGGTCGACGCGGAGGCGTTGGAGAGCGGCAACGTGCTCTGGGTCTTGAAGGGCAGCAGCCATACGCTCGCTGAGCGGCGCAGTGCGGCTGTCCGCGAGTTGGTAGGGGTCAGGTGCAGTTTCGTGGGCGATAGAAGTCAGATGGCCTTGCTGTTGCCTGTTCTCGGAAATGAGCTTTTGTATGTACATTAGCTTCTCCATCAGCTTCGGGTCTTTCATGATCTCGTCAACCTTGGCCTGGAGCTCAGCGGGAACATCTTCTTCGTCCTCCACAAGCTCTCCGGGCTGCGATGCTTTGGACTGGGCGAGCTTCTTCAGCTCTTCGGCCAATTCTTGGGGGTCCATTTCACGCTCGAACACACCCTCTTCATCTTGACCCGATGTGGAGTCTTCGTTGATCGCTGCGTCGAGCTCGGCTTCGAGCCCGGTGTCGCCACCCAACGACTTCATGACATCCCGCATCTGGTGCAGGAGCTTGTCCACGTCCTGCATGTCTTCGGGTGTCGCCATAGTCAGGTCCTCGTTTGGAGCCTCTGCTTGAGCAATGGCGTCTTCGGTCTCTCTCTGATAAGTCTGCCACTCGCGCTCCAATTCGGAGTCGGGGCGTTTACGCATAGCGGCGACCTTGTTCTGCATAGCTTCGTTGCCCTCAAGCTTGTGCATTGCCTTGTTCAGCATAGCCTGGAACACGGGATTGTCTATATTTTCCACCTCAGGCATGTGGTCGATGCACGCTTGCAGGTCGGCCTTTGCGTCTCCGATGTCCGGGTCCTCGAGGACGTCTTGTAGTATTTCAAGTGTCGCCATCCGTAAGCCGGCGTTGAACTGCTTGCTCTCTGCCTCTGCCTTGACAGCGCCCTGTTGTTTCAGTTGCTGGAGCTCCTCCCTCGACTTGATGCCTTTTTTGATGAGCTGGAGCTCATCCGTCAGTTCGGCGAAGTTTGGATTTGTCAGGAGGCTGTCGATGAGCCGCCGGTTCAAAGTTGCGTCGTCATGGTCGGGGTTCTTCCGAGACTCTTCTATCATCAGGTACATGTCTCTGTCCTTCTTGCGGTCTTCGGGCGTGGCTATGCGCTCAATCAGGCGCTGCGGCGTGCCTTTGTCCAAGTCCTGCTCGTACCAGTTGATGACGGGCAGGTCGTCGCGTTCGAGTTCGGCATCGGACAGCGGACGCATTGCCTGGTCCATTTTCGCGTCATCCTCGAAGATGGAGCGTGAGCCTCTGAGCCGGCCTAGGAGCGAGGGCTTGGATTTCGTCGTTGCATCGTGCTCCGACCCATCGGGATAGCTGGCTTTGGTGCGTTTTCCGCGTCGGAGCAGCACTGGTGGGGGGCGAGCAAAAGGACATGGTGTAGCGCGAGCTCCCAGGAAAGCGCTTGAGCGTGTACACGTGCGCGAGAGCATCGTGGCGAGCTTGGTTGAGGAGCGAGAGTGCCAAGTCGCTGTCTCAAACTTGTGACATTGTCTTGGCACCTCCGAGAACTCCGCAATTGCTTGTCGACGCGCCGCGGCCGCTGGTCTCGCGCGCCGTCACCACTCTGCAATATGCGCTTGTGTCCGCCTGAACTTCGAGAGACGGCCAGAAAAGCCCTGGATAGGCGACCGCAAACGAGGTACTTGGCGCAAAGGTGTAATAGTCACGGAGGAGATAGTAAGCGTTACGCCGTATGTCCTGTATGCACAGGCAGCTTCCGTCCACATCACGCCTTAATAAGAGAGCTACCCAGGCGCGCTGCGATCATCAAGGTGGACTATCCTAATGCGGTAAGGCGGCAGCTGCCCGCAGTCCCCATCATTGCGGTAAGGCGGCAGCTGCCCGCAGTCCCCATCATTGCGAAAGCTGTATTAATCCCTTGTCCCTGTCCTGCCACCAGAAACGTCTCTCTCCGGCACATGATGAAGACAATGAGGACCAAATGGTTGCGCCACAAACAGCTCCGCGTCAGTGGGTTAGCGTCACACGTACATAACATACACCCAACGTGTCGTTACTGAGTCAATATAGCCAGCTAATCCAATGCAGTCACAAAAGACACACGGTGCATTTCTCGAGTTACCAGGCGAGATACGAAATATGATCTACGCCATGGCCATCTACCCAGAGCTTTCTTCGCTCGTGATCGCAAATTGCACTAAGCCGGAGCATCTCGCCGCATCTGTGCTGCATCTTTCTGCCTTCCGCGTCTGTCGCCAGATACGGGCCGAATGTCTCTCCTACATTTGCGCCAATTTCTCCCTCAAGTTCCTTGGCCTGCAGACTGCGGATCTCTTCTTTTGGTGTGCGGGACCAGCCATCTCCGAGATCAAGGCTTTTGTTCTTGTGCAGCCCTGCATTGCTTCGAAAAGCAAACAAAGCGGAGATAGGAGTGAACGCTTCCTGGCTGCGCTAGATAAGATGGACCAGTTGACCAAAGTTGTTTTGGAGGAAACCGCGAAGGTTCTGGCGTTGGAAAAGAATGAAGAGCAGAACGAGTTCACAAGAAGGGTCGAGGCTTTGAGCAAAAGAGGCGTGAAAGTCCAAGTCAGGGTGGGGAACAGATATATCATGTAGAAGGAGTGGATTTGCGACGTCTCTTTCGTGGAGAGGCTGCTAGAGAGAATAGTGCGGGCGCACACGTCTTGGAGGTGCCGTGTCCTTACCCGCCATTTCCAACAGCCTTCGGCTTCTCTTGCACACGAGGTCGCATCTATAGCACCTCATATCGCGTGTATGCTGGGCTCACGAAGCATCACTGTACTGGTATCTGTCCCCTCCAAGCCATATTTTGACAAGTCCCACGTGACCACTGTAGCATTGAGAGCATAGAGTTAGCGTGTGCCATACACGCAGAAGTAGTAGCACATGTATGCTTTCAGGCTCAAGACTTACCTTCTTTAGCTTGAAATCCCATTCTCCCGTACAAAGGCTTGCCCATCGGGGACGACTCCAAGAAGGCAGGTAGTCTCGCGCGGTCCGCTTGCTTGGTACCCCACTCAAGTAACATAGATCCTGCACCTCGGCGGTGGTGATCTGGGTGCGTTACGAGGATATGCAAAACTGTTGTCCGTCAGCAACACCTTCCGACGTAGCGCGCTGGATACTAGCAGTAAAAGGGCTTCGTTCCCATGTACTCCCTTCTTACTCGACTCAGGAATACCATGAAGTCTAGCAAGCCCTGTCTTCCCTTGGCTTCATCATCTGGCACTGGATACATCTTGCTGGCTTCTCCCTCACTGCGCTCCCGCTCGTTGATGCGCCATTTGGCGCCTGCGATCATCTTGCCATGGGCGTCGGTATCGATGACTTTGAGATACACAACGTCAGGCTCGTCGCGCCAAGACTTGACGTGCTTTTCGATAGACTTTTGGATGTACTCGTCGGTGATGGGGTTAGGCGTGAGCAGGGAAGTGATACCACCGCCGTTGGCAAAGGCGGCGATCTGTATGGCGACGAAGGTTTCAAAGTCGGCTGCCGAGGTTATGCGGTGGACCTGAAGAGGCATGCTGCCTGTGTGTTACCAACACTTGGACTCGAGGCTGCGTCGTAGACAATTATACAAATGGACCACCACAGACCGGGATATTGCACAGTCGCTAGCATCTTCCTCTTAGGGCGAAGGCGGGGTGGTTCCTACGGCCAACGCGCAACACCAAAGAGGCACTGCCGCCCTTTATTTCGCCTTGCTACCAGCGTTCAGCCTTTTTCAACACGTCCAAAATGGAGACATGTTGCACGGGCCTGATCAGCGCAGACTCACAGCAGTGGCCAAGGATGTTGGGCCATGATCTGTCGGCCCACAGCTACTTCGACATCGCCCTTCCCCGAGTCCTTGGCCGCCTGGCTGACTGCAAGACTCCACCAAGCTTTTGCGGACCGCGGCATCTTCGCGACGATATATGCGCACCATGTTGTTTCCATCGCCGGCATGTTGTGCTACCGTAGGCTTGGAACGTTGCTTGGCCTGGACTCTGGAACGCACGACGATTCGAGGTGTGGAGGCATGGAACGGGTTTCTGAAACAGCCACAGCATGTGACGCGATGCGACAACTCCCAAAGTCATGAGACATGGTTTTGGCCGAACACCAGGTTGCCGATGACGTTGTGAGATGTCGAGAACTCTGATTCAGCTCAGACATACTTATGTGGGATGCGATTGGCCCTTCACATTGTCCAAGCGCAAAGTCGGGAGCCTTGAGCGCAATCCAGAGGGCAGTTGACGACAAGTCACGCGAACGACAGAGCACCAGACTCAGGGACAGGAGACACCGCCACAAATCTCATGGCAGCTTCACCATATGAAGCTCGTCGCCTCGATCGTTCCTGCTGCCCATGCACATCGCTCGTCCACCTCGGCAACAGCTGTCGCAGACCTGGCCAGGTGCGTGGGAACAACGGCTACTGGCATGTAGCTCTAGCCCCAACCCCGTTCCCGACGAGCTTGAACCGACATGGAAGGGCTCATAGAATATGTCGCACGACACTCTTGACTGCCAGTATGCGTGCTACATGCGGTCTGGCATGACGTTTGATGTGTCTTTGGAAAACAAGTGAAAACATGACAGGTGAGTATACTACATGTTCAAACTCATAAAAAGCGGTGGTTAAATGAACAGCGTTAACCATGGCATCTTGCTATATGATACTATAAAGGGGCTTGTCGCATGCTTCTTGTGGTGAACAGCAGTCCATACATTCCATATCTTCTCTTCCAATACCCCTACTTGTTTTATCCATATTCGCATAATACTTTGTAATACCCTAATATCCCTTCCTTGACGGAACAAAGCGAGACGACTCTATCATTATGAAATTCCTTATTTTTTTCCTACCGTCAGTCACACTTGCCGCCCTCGCCTCAATCTCACAAAATGATGTGAAGAGCGGCGGCGGCTGCAAGCCCATGACTGTCCTCTTTGCCCGCGGAACGACTGAGTTGGGCAATATGGGTTCAATTGCTGGACCACCTTTTGCCATCGCTCTTGGCGCGATGATGGGAGGTGCTGGTAACGTCGCTGTTCAGGGCATCCAGTACCCAGCAGATGTGCCTGGTTTTCTTGTTGGTGGAGACAAAGGAGGCAGCCAGCTCATGGCACAGATGGTCGGACAGGTTCGGGCCCAATGCCCAGACACTACACTAGTAATGGCAGGCTACTCGTAAGTAACACACTGCCCTCAATATCTTTCACATGATTCGCAAGTCTAACAAGAGATCTAGACAAGGTGGTCAGCTTGTCCACAATGCTGCTGATATGCTTAGTGCCGAGGACTCGGCATTTGTGTCTAGCGCAGTCATATTCGGTGACCCAAACAACGGCAAACCGGTCGGCAAAGTCGCAGCAGCAAACACTAAAATCATCTGCGCACCTGGCGACCTCATCTGTGCAGGCCAGCCTATCATCTTGGCACCTCACCTGTCGTATGGTGCTAACGCGGCTCAGGCTGCGCGATTTGTTATGAGCAACATGGCAGCTGGTGGTGCGGCGGCTGGAGCGGCAGCAGGAGCAGGAGCAGGAGCTGCTGCTGCTGCTGCTGCCAAGGGGGCTACTAAGGGGGCTGCCACTCGCGCGGTGCAAGCAAAGTACTTCATCTCTTAGACCCCAGTGTCGGTGTGTAGACTCCTCTTCACGTGATGCGCTATATATCTATATCTCCTCTATTGTAGTAGCTGCAGGCCAGCCTACATTACGTTGTCTACATAATTATAAGTAAATAAATCTTCAAATCCGTTTCAGAGTTCCCCTGCCCTAGAGTCACCACACATGTGCGTCTTCCTCGATATGTCTGGAGCGCTCATTCGCAACCTGGGTTGGACTTGACTATGTGTGTAGAGCCGTCTGATGAACACGCATACGAACTGCAACGCTTGTCGACCGTGGTCGCTTGAACAAACGATCCAGACATGAAGTCTACTCAATGATCTTCGATATCTTAGAGAGCTGGCTGCATCTGAGAGAAAAGGAAGAGCAGTTAATCCCGTAGCAGCACCTCAGTACCGAGAAGATTGCATTATACACCGAGACACTGTTCGACAGCAATAAGAGCTATGACTCAAATGAGAGGCATGAAGAATTTTATTGGGAAAAAGTATATCGACCAGATAGTGAGTGGTACAATATGGCCTGTTGAGTGACCAGGTGCGCGACGCTACAAAGAAGGGCTGAGGATTACCGAGAACTCACGGCGAAGTCGGGTTATCTTAACACCAGCATCCCATAGACTCCACTAGTCGATTCTGAGAATTTGGGAAAAGACGTGTGAGGACTGCGGAACGTGCCCAACAAGCTTCAAGGCGAAAGGATTAGGGCTCGACTATTATAAAGTGGGATAACTAGACAAGCTATATACAGAAGCTAAATGATGTGGTATCATACAACGTCAAGGCTCAGGGAGAAGTTTCCCAATCACTCATTATCCTGACTGCTCGTTGCTTGCCTGGCATTTGTCTCTGCGACAGTGTTTACACTCTAAGCAGGCAGCAAGCCACAGCATATGAAGCGACCCCATCCATTCCTCTTTGTACCCTTTGGTTTCTTTCCACTCGTCTCTTCCTCCTCCTCGCCAACAACACGGAGGAACACCTCGTCCAAGGTGGTAGGCGAAACCGAGTAGTATTCCAAGCCTAGCTCTTGGCGATTAGATTCTAGCAACTGGATGAGGCCGGGAATGCCGCCTAGATCAGATGCTGAAGCAGCTGAGGACGAAGTGTTGATTTGATGAACCTCTGCTTCGGTGACCTTGCCATCTTGAGCATTGTCAAGATGCGCGGGCGATGCAGTCGATTCGGGGGAAGCAGCCTTGAGTACTTTGAATCGGAGTTGTCCGTGGCCTCCACCTCGCGAACCCCACTTGTCGAGCTGAACACCGGGAATCTTCCTCTGAACCCATTGCTTTACGGCTTCCATCTCTTTTTCTGTGGTTTCGGGTGCAGATTTGAGCACAAGCTGTACGACCCAAGCATCGCCATACTGCTGCCCTAGATCACTGACTGTCCCCAGCGCAAGCATTTTGCGCTTCATGATACCGACGCGGGTGGCGAGCTTGTCCGCTTCTTCCATGGAATGAGTGGTGATCAACAAGGCACGCCCAGGTGCCGCTACACCGAGCAGTGTGCGCCACATGACTCTCTTCGCAGCTGCATCCATACCCGAGGACGGTTCGTCCAACAGTAAAACAGACGGATTGCCCATCAATGCAATGCCCAGACTGAGCTTCCGCTTATTACCACCCGAGAGTTTGGACGCGAGACGGTCGTGAAAGCGCCCCAAACTGGTAGCCTGGAGGATCGCATCAACACTGGTCTTTGGGTCGGGGACGCCGCGAGCGCGAGCGTAGAAGTACAGATGCTCCGTTACTGTCATTGAATCCATGGCATCGAATTGCGGACACACACCGAGATGACCTCGTGCGGCTGCACGCTTGCTGATGATTGAGATGTCTTCGATCAGAACGTCACCACCTCCGTTGATGTGTGTCGTAGGATGAATGTCTCCACGGATGAGCGAGATAGTCGAGGACTTTCCAGCACCATTGGGACCAAGAAGAGCGAAAACCTGGCCTTGGGGGATGCCAAAGGTGATGTCGTTCACAGCGTGATTGGAGCCGAACGTTTTGTGTAAATGCAGCGCACGTAGGCTGTCTTTGCTCTGCTCAGCGCGTGTTATTTCGGCAGCGACAGCAGGAGGGATGGTATCCACGTTTTCTTCCGAGTGCTGCTGACGGCTTTTTTCTCGGTTGAGAAACGCGGGTCGGTAGCCCGAGTCCCACCACACGAGAGCGGTGAAAAGCAATATGATTTGTACAATGAGATACAAAATGGGTCCTCCGTACACTGTCAAAGCGCCAGGATAGCTGGGAATTTGATTGCCATCGCATAGTACGCTGAAAGAGTTGAGAGAAAGCAGTTGCGTCCTCAGTAGGCTTGCTGAGGGCGAGATCAACGAGACAGTCCAGTGGAAGTACTGAATGTAGGAGTCAATGGCGTATGCGGGTGCGTAAGTCAGTATGGCCATGTAACCGATAAAGTATATCAGGTAGAGCGACACCATGCCTCCAGCAGCGAAGGCAAATGCCGCCAGTTGCGACGTGACCACAATGGAGATTAGGTAAGCAAAGAGCGTCGCACACAGGCCGTAGAGAAAGAACACCACGAAGAGGTACCCTGGTGCATACCACGCATCGGAAGCCTGTAGCAACGTTAGCCATGCAGATTTGTATGTGCCAATAGGAACTTACTGCAGCAAAGATCCCTGTAGTGACGGCAGAGATCACAAGCACGAACAGGAAATCAAACGCCGTGTATGCCAGCCACAGTGGCACAGCCCGGATACCGTTGCTGTAGTGCAGCGCTCGGACATTCCTAAGCCGCTCTTGTGTCGGATATAGAGCAAATAGCGCTGGGTAGACACACATGGCCAGGCCAAAATACAAGATCAGCTGTAGCGTGTCGCCCATATTAGGAGCAAATGGCACGGCGAATTGCTGGTACTGTGTGGAGATGGTGATGTTTGTCAAGATGTTGTCGAGAGTATTCAGTGTGATGAGGCCACCGATGACACCGCCATTAGCAAGGTAAGCCATGAGTGGCGGGCCGTTATCATTTAGGAAGAAGCCACCGGGTGTGATGTTGCGGAAACGCGTGTTGACGTAGTCGTTGAATTCATCGAGTGTGTCCACGAGGTGAAAACTGTCCTCGGAGACTCCTGTTCGTTGAATGATGGTGTCGATAGCAGGACCGACGGTACTTGCCGGACCGATGGGGATGAGAGGGACATCGTCTACGTTGGAAAGCGAGAATATGGTAGGGTCGTTAGCGCTGGCTCCAGGATCGCATCCAACAGCCTCGTAATCCTTTAGGAACAGTGTGACTAGTCCCGCCGCCACAATCGGAAGGAGTAAAGCGAATATGTAGGGCCAAAAGTTGCGTTTGACAATGGTGATACGCTTCTGTACAAGTATGAGTATCTGCCTGAGTAGACTAGTGCCACGACCTTTGCTCATTTCTAGCGTCTTGTCGGTGTCAGAGTGATCTGAAGGTACGTCTCGATCCTTGTCCGACGTTGGGGTTCCAGCTTGCCCACCGTGGTCAGCGTCCATTAGGTTGTACTCCTTGACTTCCTCAGCATTGGCCAGGAAGACATCCTCCAATGTCGGGCCAACAATGTCGTAGTTCTTGACGTCATGATGTCTCAGAATATCAACGAATTTGGTGGCGGGCAGTGCGTTATCGAATTGGTACTGTAGCATGCCTTCGGAAGGTGCCGGTTTCTTGATGGCATCCACTGGGGGCTTGACAGGAGCGTCTTTCGGATAAGTAACGTGGTATCCAGCGCCGACTTCATGTTTGAGCTGAACCGAAGTACCCTTCGTTTTGAGGATACCGCGGGAAAGGATGGCAACGTAGTCGGCAAGGACATCTGCCTCGTCGAGAAAATGTGTCGTGAGCAAGAAGGTGCGGTCACCCCGCTCAGCGAGTAGAATCTCCCAGATCTTCCTTCGCGAGAGTGGATCCAATCCGGACGACACCTCATCGACGCAGCAGACTTTTGAACCGCCGGTGAACATCATGGCCAGCTGAAGCTTGCGCTTTTGACCCCCAGAAAGTGTGCAGGACTGTGCTCTGATCTTGTGCCCCAGATCGCAAGCGCGTATCAGGTTTTCGATGGTATCTTTGGTATCGTAGGTGCCGGTTGACTTTAACTGGTTAAAGATACGAACGTGTTCGTAAACAGTCAGCTCATCCCACATGACATTTTTCTGGGGGCACAGTCCAAGGCCTCCGGTGCCATCAATCTCGATCGCTCCACTAGTGATGGAGTTGAGACCCGCGATGGCGTCCAGCGTGGTGGACTTGCCACTACCATTGGCACCAAGCAAAACCATAATCTGGCCTTTGCGCGCCTTCATGCTGAAGTCTTGCACGGCGACGACTGTTTCCGGTGGCTTGACGCCGAACTTGGTAAGGACGTTGCTGCGAAACCAACTGGGAGTCCAGTGCTTACAAAAGTTTGTCAGGATGATGTTGTGATCCGGCGAAGACGTTGTAGTCTTCCGGTCGGCCGAAACGGTGCCGTAGAGCCAGCGCTCAACAAGAGCGCCCAGAACAGGGTACACAAAAGTCTGTATAATGGCAAATATGCAGAAGACGATGCCGGGAGTAGTCCAGATGTGGTCCTGGTAGTCGGGCGCGGCTTGGACGAGGTTCATTCCAACGAGCTGTCGCTCAAAACGGGCCACGCAAATAATGAAGAAGACGTAGTTGATGGACGGAAAGAGCAGGCTCAGAACGTATACAGCAGCTGTGCTGAAAGGTCCAGCGACTTGGGCGATGATGGCCAGGAGGATCGGGACGATGACGATGGTGATACCAGATAGTTGGGCTTTGCGGAAGAAAGCTGCGCCGAAGATGGAGAAGCTGGTCAAGGACAGGCCAGCAAGGATGTGGAAGATGATCAATATGGCAGGGTTGGAGGTTTGGAAAGCCAGAGCCCAAAGGATGGCGCCCATAATGACCCAGCCCGGGAAGTAGATGATGTCGAACGCAATATGCATGGACAGAAGACGGGCAAACTGCGTGTGCCATGGCCTTTTGGCGGGCGACATGGCTTCGACTAGCTGGGATATGCCGCGTTCTCTCTCCTCGGCCATTTGCCCCGTGAGCTGATAGGTGACGCCGCACACGCCAATGTACAGAGCCACGCCCATGATGTTGATGAGTGCACCCATGTACAGGGTCCTGATGCGATCGTCATATTCTTGCTGCGTACGCTCTGTGTACGGGTACTCGTCGGTGGCGGGGATGGCAGCAAAGCCCTCGACGGAGGCGATGGCCTGGTCGATGGCGCGCTGGAAGGGCAGAATGTAGATCTGGACATCGTTGTCGTCCTGGCCCACGTAGATTTCCTCTCCCAGCGCTCCGTCGGATCGGATGGTGTAGTTCCAGCTCTCGCCCTGGCCTTGGCTCGGACTGGAAAGGAAGGACACTGCACCATAGCATGTGCTGGCGCCCCGCAGCGAGCTCTCGCACGTCGAAAGCAGTTGAACATCCTGCTGAATAGTCACGGCCTGCAGGCCAGCGTCGCGGACCTGGGTGGATAGCTGTGCAATAACGTCTTGAATTTCGCCACCAGTGTGTCCGTTGTTGACGAAGACGACCTTGTCACGGCCGCCTTGGGCAGCACTGAGGGCTTCGGGAAAGGAGCGGATGAGAGACGGCTCACCGATGCCGTACTCTGACGGCGGGACAAAGAAGTTTTTCGCATAAGATATGAAGAACATCTGCAGCAGAGCCCTGGTTAGCCATTGTTGTGCGGGGAGCGACGAGGCGTCGACATACAAAGATAATGGGAGCCCAGAATGCGCGGACACTCGTGAAGAACCAGTGGCGCACGAAGACGACGAGCAGCGTCTTCTTGGTGAGGATCCATGTCTGGCTCACGATTGCGCCCGCCATGGTGGCTGTGTAGTCTTCGAGCGTCGTCTCGAGATGGGGTCGCAGTCGCTACAAGGCCGCGCGTGGAGGCATCCTGCTTCTCTTCGGAGAGTGGAAGGGCGCAGAGAGCGTCTTGAAGCATGGATGGCGAAGACACGACGCCAATGCCGCGCCCCGTACCCAGCGTATACGGAACGACGCCGAGCAGACGACGTCTTGTCCGACGTCTTGGACCCGCGCCAGCCCTCCAGGGCTGTCGCCATGATCCACATGGGGCGCCAAGCTTGGAAAGTGCCAACACGCTGCGTGCCTGCCCAGCGGCCCGGCTTACCTCACCCTGCTCCCGTAGCTGGGTCCAGGTCTGTGTCTGTCGCGACGCCTGTCTACCACAGTTGGCAAGACTCTCGCCCGGCACTGCCTGAGGACGCTGTTCGAACGCGGCTCGGCGACTGCATCCGCCCAGACAGCGCCCAGTCATGACAAGCCTCGCGTGCACATCCTGGCATCGCTGCGCCTCCTGTCCTGTTTGCCGTCGCGTCATCGATTGTGTGCGACGCGGTAGGGCCATCGTGCCATGACCTGCCCCAGACGGGCCGACGTGTGCCGACAGCGTGGTTCACAGTACACCGTCGCCGCAACCTCACCTCATGCTAGGAGAGCATTGAAGACTAAACCAAATGTCAACATCAAGTCTGGGTCCGTTGAATACTCACCCACGCCCTTTGCGTCTTGATATGCTTGTCCGCTCGGCTTCGTGTGCCCCAGTCACGCACGCAGCTCTTCTCCAGGTTCCCGAGGTCTGGTAGGGACCTATCGCTCATCTGGGATAGTCACGTGATGGGGTGGTATCGGCAGCCCTGGACGAAGCTATGACGGGGGGTTCGTGGCTGCCGAGGCCGTGGCACGCGTCGGCGCAGCCTCCTCCCACAGCAGCGGCATCTCTCCTGCGCAACGACGACGACGACGACGCCGACAAGCAGCTCGCCATGGACTTTGACGAGGCGCTGCCCTCTTCGCCGCCGTGCGCGGGCACCGACGACCTCGCGCCCAGCCCCTTCTTCGAGCGGCACCCCACGGCCTTCACCACCAAGTCGAGCTCCCCTCCGCCCGTCTTCTCCAGCGACGACTCGTGCGAGTCGGTCGACGTGGCCAACTACGAGTCCCCGCGCATACACAAGAACAAGCGCAAGGGCGCGTGGTGGGACACGCACGCGTCTGCCCACGCCAGCCCCCAAGTCAAGAAGACCAAGTTCGCGCGCAACTTGGACTCGGGCATCTACATGCTCAGCGACGCGACCAGCAGCTGCGACGACCTGCCCCCGCCCCCGTACATGCCGCCAGCCTCTCTCCGCGCCGCCGTCTCGCTCCCCCGCTCGCTCCACGCGCGAGCTGCCGACGATGAGGCCATGGACGTCGACGTCGACGTGGCGAGACACGCCGCTCCAGCGGCCGTCTTCAACCGGCACATCGACGACGGCCTTGCCGCGGACCGCGAGTCGTACGACCTCGTTGGCCTCGGCCTCGCCGACCGCGACATCACACGCATTGGCGAGCTCAATTCCGTCATCAGCCACCCTCCCGTCTACGACAACGAGCTCCCCACGGCGGGCCAGTACCGCTCTCTGCTCCCCAGGCTCCACGTCAACCTCGGTAAGAACAAGCTCCGTCGCCTCGTGCCCGCTTTGTTCCACCTCGACGATCTCACTGGCCTCTATCTGCGCCAGAACGACATCGACGAGCTTCCCCAGCAAATCAGCCGCCTGCGCAAGCTCGAGGCCCTCGACGTATCCCTCAACAAGCTTCACTACCTCCCCTTCGACATCGTCACTCTTCTTGCCCCACATGGAAACATGACCCGCCTCACTCTCATGGGTACCGATCTGCTCCAGCCAATGTCCTTCCGCCGCTTCTCCCTCACCGACTACCAGAAGCAACACCAAGGGCCCCTTCACCACCTCGATGGCGTACGAGAAGACGCAAACAAGCAGCTCGCTCATCTCTATCCAACGCTGGCAACGTGCAAAGACCGCGACCAGGCTGTCTGGCGCATCCGCTATTTCGAGTCCTGGGCCAACTCTTTTGGCGGTGCAGACGACGCCCCAGAGTGCGCCGCTGAAGATGTTGGCTTCTATTCGCACCACCCTTCGTTGCGCCCAGAGGCTTTAGTAGAGGGCGATGCCGTTGCCCACGCGCCACGGTACATTGCTCGGACTCTGGTTTCTTACTATGGGCAGGATGGCAAGCTTCTCAAGGGCTCTCCAAAGCTCCCTACTTCCGACCAGGAACACTACCCCGTCATCATCGAGACGAATCAGGGTACATACGGCCTACCTTCCTCACCGTGGTTCGTCCCTCCGTGCACAAGCAAAGTTTCCTCCCTCTTCACAACGACCCTGCATATGGCACTTCACTCTTTGGAGCCGCACAAAATACGTGACTACCTCAGCCCGTGTGCTCTCCCCATGGTCGAAGCCATTCTCTCGCGAGCAGAAGCGAACGCTGCCGACGGATACGGTCTCTTCCGCGAGTGCCATGTCTGTCGCAAGCATTACGTTGTGGCACGCGCCGAGTGGGTTGAATTTTGGAGCCGGGGCTCAGGTGACTTTCTTCCACTGAGAGTTAGCGTATGCTCGTGGGGTTGTGTACCTCCAGGCATGGTCAAGAGACCGCAGAAGGAATTGACATGGTGAGGCCAGGAGGTTGTCAGTTGATGCCAGACAGTAACGTGAGATGTTTATTGTAGTCACAAACCATCAAGTTGTGTCGTGAAACGAGTCATACTCTTGCAGGAATACACCAAAGACACTCGGGTTGCATCGGTCACACAGTCTCCGACACGCCTGTCTATCCCGACACCTACAACACTACCCGTTGACTCGAGATGTAGCTAGGTAGAAATCTTGTAGCAACTCCCATATCCATGCAGTAACACCTTCTTGGCATGGTGCTCAATAGCCATCGTACCTTGGCCCGTCTACTCCACATGCGAAAAGCCCTTGGCGGAAAGTGCGCTAATCTTGCTGGTCGCGTTTACGACAGCTGCTCTACATCACTCATATTCCGAAACTTAAGCGTGTTGCCTACGCTTAAAACATGTATGGCGGAATGATGACAACCGTAGCTGCCTCTCTCAGCTAGATGGATTGCTAGCCGAAACAGGCTTGGACGGCGCTGTTCGGACGATTGCGATAACAACACGCCGTGTCAGTGGGCATCCCTGGTGCATCATTACTTCTTGTAGGGCTATATCTCGTACTCCGATTCCTGATTCGATACCAAGATATAAGGCTCGCCAAGCACACCTGGGCATGTTCTATGTGCGAGCGTGTTTGTCGTGCCTTCCGAGACCACCTGCACACAAGCACTTCTACGCAGCTGCGCAGTTCCATGCTGCACCCACGGATGTGCAGATGGAATCGAACATCTCTACAAGTAGCCTAGCTCGTCTATGAACACTGAAGAAGCTTATCAGCTCTTGTACTCTCTTGCCGTTGTCCTTATCGGCGCCTATCTTCAGCCCTGGTTCGTATCCTTGCCAGTCTCGACTCGTTCCACCGGACCATCGTCCGCGGCTTGACGTGAGCGTATGGAGAAAGCCATATCAGCGTTCATCTGGGGTTATCATATCCGGCTTGGTGAATCCGCGTGGGACTACGTATCGCAGCTGGACAAGCATTCCTTAGTTACACGGCTAGCATGCTGACCGGGTTTACTTGATCCGACTGCATGCAAGACTCTTATCTACAATTCAACTCCCTTTTCTACTTCTTGACTGATTGTTTACCGTCAGAGTCCCAAAAGCAGTCATGTCCGAGAAGAAGGCAGAAGACTCGGCTATCGGAGAACAGAGCGTGGACTATGGCATTGGCCATGTTCGCAAGTCGCATACGGCGAGTCGCAGGAAAAGCTCCGCTGTCGATCCAGAGATTGTTGCGGGAGAGATATTCGACGAGCGTTATGAGACTACGCAGCGTGGTCTGAAGTCACGGTCAGTAGACCCCTCTTGATACCCTATATCCTCAAAGACTGACGGAACGTAGACATGCTCAAATGATTGCGTTGGGTGGCACAATAGGTACTGGGCTCTTTGTCGGCTCAGGCCAAACCCTCGCTCGTGGCGGCCCGGCCTTCATCCTGTCCACGTACATCGCCATGTCATTCTTGATCTTCTGTACCGTTGCGGGTATCATTGAAGTCGCGGCCTATCTGCCGACCCCGGGGTCTTCCATGGTAACTTGTGGCCGTACCCAAGGCATTTGACACACGACTGACCTTGTACCTTCAGAACCTTTTCGGTTACCGCTATGTGTCGCGCTCTATGGGGTTCGGCCTGGGTTGGCTATACTTCTACTCGCTCGGTATCCTTGTGCCTTACGAAATCACGGCAGCCGGGTTGGTCATTGAGTATTGGAACCCGCCCGTGAACATCGCAGTGTGGATCACAGTCATGATCATTGTCATCGTTGGACTGAACTGCTTTCCAGTCAGGTTCTACGGCGAGACAGAGTTCTGGTTTGCCGGAACAAAGGTTATCATGATTTTAGGGCTCCTGATTCTGTCATTTGTTTTGTTTTGGGGTTAGTAATACCCCTGCACAAACTGCGTATGATACAACCACTGACTTTATACATTTATCTTAAAGGCGGCGGTCCACAGCATGACCGACTCGGCTTCCGGTACTGGAAGAACCCTGGCGCGGCGAATACGTATCTAGAAGAAGGGAATGCTGGGCGATTTGTGGCCCTCTTATCCACTATGGTACTCTCTGCTGTAAGCATGCTTCCGCCGAAGCCTTATATCTACTTGTTTGACCCTCATGTCTAGTTCCCCTTCACGTTTGCTCCCGAGCTTCTCGTTGCAACAGGTGGCGAGATGCAGTCACCGCGTCGCAACTTGCCTACTGCGGCTCGCAGATACATATACCGCCTACTCTTCTTCTATGTTGGCAGCGTACTGGCTATCGGAATCATTTGCCCCTCCGACGACCCCATCATTACGTCTGGTGGTTCTGGAGCTGGCTC